ATCAATATTATTTACAAAATATCTGGCCAGTATGGGGAGGATCATCGTGTCTCCGTCAGGGGGTCGTGGAGTGGTGGTCCAGCAGGCTTCAGGGAAGCGTTGTGTGTGGGGACATCTTAGGAGGTAGTGGATAAGGATGCTGCTCTCGGGTCTTCTGCATAATGCACAAGAGCGTTGCTCAGGGGATGCGGGGATACCAATCTCCCAAGCAAAGTCATACCCAATGATGATACGCACATTTATCAAGAGGCAAGATGACTGCCCAAATAAACGACAAACAATATTTAAAACACTGAGAATTTTTCGTCAAAGACTACCGTACACCATAACGCTGGATTGCTTCCTCAGTATTAAATGTATAAATTTCAGAAGTGAGTCAACATTTCACCAGCGGTCCAAATATTGCACAAGCATTATAATCAATGGGGTGTAGCAGGGGGGAGTAGAGTAGAATGCACTTGAATTTTTAGTGGTTTTATCTTAAGCGTTTGAACGATAAGCTATCTTTAATTGTTTCTTATATCAGTAAAAAAAATAAGGGTAGTACGCATGAGTGTGTTAACATGATTCACACCCTGCTGACTGGCTGCGGGAGTTGTCATGGCTATCACGTGCATACCTCCAGGGCGGGCGGAGGTAAATAAACTTACCTAACACACACACACACACACACACACACTTACTTATACGTTTATTTATTTATTTATTTGTTTATTTATTTTTCATTTTATTTTATTTTATTTATTTTTTATACAGCGATGAAGCGAGGAAGATTACTGACACTTATCTATCAATTACATTCTCAATTCATTGAGTTTTATTAAGTCATGGTTGGGATAACGTGAAGATTAGGCACCCAGCTTATTTCACCTGAGTATTAGCCACCTCACTGTTACCCTAACCAAAAGTGACATAACTTAGTCTAACATAACATAACGATTTTTCCTTTGCTTGGGGTGTAAGAATACACCTACACTGACTCACCCAGTCTACAGCGTTCAAATGACGGTCAGAATTAAGACGAAATTACAGTAACACTTTTCCTTGCCTAACATATCCCCCTTTTTACACAACGACCGAAAGTTTGACAGTGTAGTGTGTCAGGGCCATGTAGACATCGAACGGTGGAGGTCACAGAATCAGATAATGCCGTATATACTAGATTACACATCCTCCCAGTCTCTGACGATACAACCTTACCTGTTGTCCCTCTTCCACCCCCCCCCCCTCTCCACTAGCGCGGCAGTTTACCTGGAACATACTGTACATACATACACAAACAACTTAGCTGTATAATTTTCCATTACGCTATATGTACTGTCTCATGCCCTCAGCCACGTATACCGGTATACGGACAGTTCCCCCAGAGAGAATGAATAACACCACACAACAGTAAATCGATTTAATGAAGAAAATTCTATCAGCTCAATTTTCTAAATGTTAATACTCTATTAAGTTAGATTATCTCAGATGAAATTCTGCTGTTCAGCACCCCAAGCTAATACATATGTGTATGCAACAATAAGCCTGTTAGACTAAAACACTCTTGAATTTATGTTTCACAGCAAAGTTTCTTGCGATAAACTTTTCTGTTCTCGCTAAAGATGTAAGAATGCATTTGATTGATTATCTTAAGCTAAAATACGAAATTAACATTAGAAAGCAACAAAAAATGATACTGAAACAGCGGTCACTAGGTACGTTCTCTAAGCACCAGTTAGTGAACAAATCTGAATCTTTGAAAATGCTATTAAACACTTGCTGATCGAGTTTCCTAGTCTAGACCTTAAGAGGCGGAATCTCTCCAGGAATCAAGGAGGGGAGGGTTCGGAGCATATTGTAGGAATACAGCATCACAACTTTTACGACGCCACATAATTTCTGTAACCAGTATAATTTACATACTGTATAATTTAGAATAAGTAATTAATAACTTACAACCATGGATGCATAGATTAGATGTTTTATTTAGATTGTCCAGGAGGGGGCTAGTTTATTAGGCACCCCCTTACATCCTGTGCAAGGTGAAACGCAGAAGCGTTTACAGTGCCCGTCTGAGAAGCATGCGGAGTTCATGCTGGCCTTCATGACTCATGCATTAAGGTCGTAAGATATAATTGCAATATGACCTCCGCACTCTTATTACTTACACTTCTAGATATAAAACCTAATACTCTGTTTGCCTTATTTCCAACATTAACGCACAGCTGTTTTCTAAGCTGAAGGTCCAGGCTTACAAGTACCTCTTAGTCTCTTTCACAAGTCGACTTCTCTAGGTTGATGTTTTTAAGGCTGTATACATTGACAGTATTTGTTCTTACAAGATTAAGTACGCTGCACTTGCTGGTGTTGAATTCCATTTGCCATTTTTCTGATCACGTACTAGATCACTGGGCCAGCCTAATTTACTGTACAGTATTAAGATTTATAAATATCACATTGCACATATACACCAGTCTTGTGTATATATTTTTTTTCACTTTTATGGAAGACGTGAACAGCCCAGTTGGACAACAATTATCGACAATCTCAGTCATCTTACTGATATCAACTGGACTCTAAATGACTAAAGTAAATTACTTTTAAGTGGGACTGTATACTGACAAGTCCCACTCCTCACAGGCCCTACAAGTTACAGGTTTGTAGAACTATATACAATCAATCAATCTTCATCTTACTAACCTTGACAATCTAGCCCCTGGGCGTATCTTCTTAGGCTTAGCTTCCGTCCAGAACACATCTAAAGCAATGTAAGTGTTCATATGATGCGAGGAACATGACTGCGTTTGTGTTCATTATTAATTAACCATGCAGGTATGGCCGAGCAGGAAGAGGTGCCACTTGATGCAGGAAATCTGAAACAAATATCCAGTCGCTAAACCACTTGTTTAACAGAAATTAATTATCAATCAATGCACTGAGATAAATTCTACTAGGATAATTGTATTTGTAGATAAATTACTAAAACAGTGGCCGCCAGTGGGGGTATAGGGCGGCCGAGTTAATACAGAGCTCTCCTCTCCCTGGGGTCGTTCGTTCGCCCTTGCGCACTTTCAGACCACAAAGCTGCATTAACCATTTGAAGAGTGATGGTAGTAGAGTTCAACGCTGGCCACGCTGCTTCCTTGTATGTACCTGAGTGTTCATTTGAGTTATCAAGAATATGACAATCGTGAGTAATGGCACTGATTAACGAGAGCTCAAATACCGAATTACCACCAGATAGTACATGTGTGTCCCTAAAGGAGGAGATGGGTGGTGCAACAAAAACTAGTTCTGGGGTGAGAAGGTGCAGGCCCTAGGAACACAAAAGGAAAATCAAGAAACATGACAATGATGGAGACTCGGGTGAACAAAGAAGGGGAAGAGGAGAAGAATTACAGGATATGGGGAGGATAAGAGGATTAAAAAAAATTCAGTTGTGTATTAGATTAGAGCAGCGTAAAATAATAGCGCAAACTGTAGCAGGAACAGCATTGCTGGGAGTTATAGCAGTACTCTATCAGTGTTCTTCAGTCCCAAATAATTAAGTAATAACCTCAGAAAAGCATCAGCATTACTAAAACTGTCATCAGCATCCTGGCATATATGAATAAATATGCTTTGTTATTGTTAGGGTCACATGGCATATTTTCATTAAGGAGTCTGGGTGGAACATTTGGCCTAAGTGTAGGATAGATGTTTTTCTTGAGAACTTAGAATTGGTGTTCATATAAATGTCGCCGGTAGACTTGAATAAGCTTTCTCCTGGCCTGTCATCAACTTACGCTGTGAAATGAACCATGCACGGCAATTTTGTTTTTGGTCTAAGTTTAGATAGTTTTGATTACGTTTCGTTCTTCTGCGGGATATAATATTGCAGTAATGACAGACAAATAAAATGACACGTCTGCACACACATTTTGTAATATTGTTATGTTCAACCGCATTAGCTTAAGGCCTACAGTCTAAGTCGATTTGACATTTTTTCCGAGAAATTGGAGTTTACTAGTGATGAAATATTTGTTCATAAATATAATAATTCACATATTTTTATGCAAAGAATGGTCGTATATCACAGTACATAATGATCACCCGAAGATTACCACGCTAACATTACCGAACCTACATAACCTAGCGTTTGGGTGTTAAATCAAGTGTAATATGCCGGGGCTAATCTTCAGGTGATCCTACACGATTTTACCAACTGCTGATATACTACTGTATTAGATAATTACTTTATTTTATCCTCTTTGTCACTGATCGTCCACTTAGCTGCTTGGGTGGTTAGTTACGTCTTTGTTGCAGTTTTGCACTGTTTACAAGTACTGGACTACTGGGCATGCATTGGCTCCAGAATGTATATAAAATTGTCTCTGATCCTGCGCCAGCCAATTGGTCAAGTCTGATCTTGACTCTTGGGTCTTGAATGTGCTCACTTTTCACAAGTCACAACAATCTCTGGCAGATTATACCAAGAGTTCACAACTCACTAAAAATAAAAGGTTTGCCCTGAAAATGGATATCTTCTTAAGCAGATGATATATACGAGAGAAAAAAAATATGTGAATTAACACAAACATATGGGCAACAAAAATTAAGGACAAACTATTAATTCAGAAGTTTCTTTTACATTCTAACGCCATTACCCCCAAACACCTTGTTATTGTGAACTGAAGATTGTATTAAGATGTATATCCAAATTAGAAAGGTTATTTATGTATTTTACATATACCCCGACAGTATTGCGTTATACGAGTTATTTTTAGATCAATAACAAAGAGCAGGGCGGTATGGAACAGCGAGTAGTGTTAAATACGACGCCAAACTCTCAATCATGAAGGTCTCTCTTCAGAGCTCATCAATATTATGAACAAGGCCTAATAAATCGTACTTGACTTAACAGTTAGGCCTCCTGCTCTTTATGTAATTTTTATGTTTATAAAACAGTTGTTTAAAGGCTGATGGGAGGGGGCAGGGAGGTAAATGGAACAGCGAGGGGTATAAAACCCAGCGACGCAGAGGAGTGCGCAGTTGGAAGCTCCGGGTCGCCAGTGTGTGAACGAGCCTCCCCGTTACGTCCAAATAATCCACAACCTTCCATTTCCTATATCACCCTGTTCATCTTCGCATTCCATTATCTTCAACAAAGAACAAGATGGGTAGCCAGATTCGTCAGAATTATCACGAGGACTGTGAAGCAGCTATTAACAAGCAAATCAACCTGGAACTTTATGCTAGCTATGTCTACCTGTCCATGGTCAGTTGCCCGAGGGTATTGTGTTTTAGTTAATTGTACTTGTAATTCTTTTTTAATATGTATACTGTATAATAAGACGTGAAGAATGGGGTTTTATAAAAGTAGAAATGTTATAGAATGTAAGTCATGAGCGTTAGAGTAATCGATATGCACCGTCATAGTGCTTATCATCTGTGAGTGTTGTATTATCCGGCTCTGCTCAGAGAAAATGTCCGCGCAGCTGGATGATTTGCTTGTCGCCTTAATGCGTATGGTGTTTGAATAGTCTCGTATAACTTTTTTATGTTAGTAGATGACGTATTTTGCCTTTTTAACCCCCTTGAATTTTAATTTAGGTGAATTGGTTATAATTATACTTAACATACTATACAGGGTACTTATGTTTGGCATTCCTTCTGATTGCTTGAGGCTGATGTCCTAGATTAATGAATTTGGTAAACATGGTTTGGGTTAGGTATTGTTTTAAAGTGACCAAATTCCGTATTGTAGCGTTAACATTACCTACCTATATAGGGATTAAACTTTGCCCTATCATATTTAATATTTGATGGCCATAAGTAATTTTTGAATAGGGCAACACATGGTCATTTATTTTATTTTTTTAACGAGTTCACGAATCTACTATATTTGGCCTTAATGGTCATTGACTATATTTTATTCTTTTCTTGAGTACAAATTAGAAAAGTCGAAGTACTTGATGGGCGAAGTGACCAGAAATATAGACAAACCCAATGAATCGCCAAATGACGGGTCCGACTAATTACCCAAATGTAGCCGCAATGAAGTCAAATGATGGTCCTACAAGAATAAATCGGACTGCCAATCACTTCTCGACTGGTATTTGGTGTCACAAAGTCACAAAAAATTGGTAAACTTAATTTAATCTGCGTTAATAGATTGAGTGCATGTACCTAACCTAACACAACTCGGATTAAATTAAGTTTACCAATTTTTTGTGACTTTGTGACACCAAATACCAGTCGAGAAGTGATTGGCAGTCCGATTTATGCTTGTAGGACCATCATTTGACTTCATTGCGACTACATTTGGGTAATTACTCGCTCCCTCTGTACATGCACGCGATCTATAAACTCAGATTAAAGTAAGTTTTCCTTTTTTTTTTACTTTGACACCAAATACTAGTCGAGAAGTGATTGGCAGTCGGATTTATTCATGTAGGACCATTATTTGACTTGATTGCGGCTACATTTAGGTAATTAGTCGGACCGCCAAATGACTGAACTCTCGCTAATCGGATAAATTTTGATCCAAGATCTTGGGTCAATTGGATTTTTTTTTCGATTTAGTAGTTCTTAACGCATTATTCTCTGAGCCATGTCCCAAGAGAAAACTTTTGTAGTTAAGCACTTGAAATTTTATTAAAATAAGTGAATTCCATACAAATATATTAAATACATTGTAATAGTTGATAAGAGGGAGGGTTGATAATGTACTAGTGAACAGAATTTGTAATTTATTTTTTTTCTTTTTGATCGGAGAGGTTGTAATGATTCTTTCATCTCTCAGAGTTACTATTTTGATCGTGATGATGTTGCCCTTCCCGGGATGACCAAGTACTTGAAGGAAGCAAGTGATGAGGAGAGGGAACATGCTCGGAGGTTTATGAAGGTAAGAGTTCTTTAAGTAATTGGAACTTGTATTCTGCATGAAACCTGTGTGAATTCAATACAGCTTGTACAGTACTTCAGGGTTGACAATATGCAATTAACTTTACTCTTGCTGATGCACAGGCCTTGATACCTGACTTGAAGTAGGTTATTTTAAAATAATGACAGTTAAAACTAGCACAAAATATAAATTTTTATGGTGAAGGCATATACTTTCTTAATACAGTACCTGTGTATACGGTAATTGCAAAGGAGCTGCAACGGATACTGTTGAGCTCGATAGTAACTTGAGAGGAATACTGTATTTGCTAGGTTGATCCATTATTAAAAGCAAATATAAGTATCTTAAGGCTGTGTATCCTTTGTGCAGGGTTATGGTCAGATTTAAAAGGTTGCAATCAAAGGCTATGGATATATACATCAATTTTAAGGGTGTACTTGTCCATTATGTAATGTGAATGCTTGCATATACTGTACAGTACTGAACAGATATAGTATATCATAGGCCTCCAGTAATAAAAGTAGACTCCTGTCCTACATCCTGCCAGGTGCTGCTTGAGTTCAGTATTTTACTCCAAATTTGAATGCATTTGTTGAGAATGTGTGATGGTTATCTTTTCATTGTTGTCCTTCCAGTACCAGAACCAACGTGGTGGACGCATTGTACTGCAAGCCATTGCTGCTCCATCACTCCAGGAATGGGGTAATGCTCATGATGCCCTGCAAGCTGCTTTGGATCTGGAAAGGCAGGTCAACCAGGTGAGTTGTTTTTTTGTCCTCGAGGTTGTGCAAATTTTCCGACTAGAAGTAATAACACAAAGAAATCTTGTGTAGAATATTGGCTAAGCGATTGTTTCATGTTCATTTGTCCATCAGATTTGGCTCCTTTAAGAATAGTATGTTTTTTGGCAGCAGCTTACAAAATATATATATATATATATATATATATATATATATATATATATAAGCATGTGCCTTCTTTTTCTCTAACCTTGGTAAATTGTTATTCCATCCACCAAATTTTCACAAATGGTAGATAAAGGCACAAAATATGCACACAACTGTTTTAACATTCGACAAAAATACAGAACAGTCGAGGGTTAATTGTAGCCATAGGCAGTCTGTGTCCCATGTCTGACCATTGTTTTATTTGTATGATCCCAGTAGAATTTTGTTTTGGTTATACGTATAGTTAATTGTAATTTATCATTGGGAAGGAGTATGAGCTGTGTAGTTTAAAGTTCATGCTACTATAAACATCTGAATTGGGCTCTAAAAGTATGACTAGATCACAAGATGACTACAGCCAATCATAGTTCACCAAATTGTCCGTTCTATTTAATTATTTATTTATTTATTTTTTAGTGCTTGCTGGAGCTTCATGGCACAGCTAGTAGCAACAATGATCCTCACCTGACCAAGCTTTTGGAAGATGAGTACTTGGAGGAGCAGGTGGAGTCCATGAAGAAGATTGGAGACATGATTACCCAACTGAAACGTGCTGGTACCTCTGGTCTTGGCGAATATCTCTTTGACAAGAATCTCCAGTAATGAAACCTGTCCTGAAGAAGAAAGGCACATTTTCACAAACTGTGGGGTTGATTTACACATTTTATTTGCATTGATTTAAACTTAGAACTTAATAACAATTTCATGTACTGTCATCCGTCATTGGTTTGCCAGAGATTTGAGCTCCTTTTGGATTAAGAACTTTTCTGTAAATCTTGCATTTTGTATTTTGGCACAGGACCAGATTTAGGCATAAGCTAAACGAGGTACAGTTTTGGGCCTCGCAAAATTTCAGATTTTTTATTTTTTTCGTGGTTTTACTATAATTTAAATTTGAGTGATGATTTAACCTGATTATGCTATACATCTATAGGCATACAGAGAATAAGTGTCAGCCCCCCCCCCTTTCCTTTTCTGGCAATTAAAAGTTTACAACAGTATTTTACCCCGAGGAATTAAATACGTTCAGTCACTGGAAACGAATTTGCAGCATTTTCCTCAATGCTAATTAAAGGCATATTTTAAGTTCTAATGGAGTAAACACCCCTCCCCATGGGTTAGTTATGCATTTTGATGGCATTCTTGCCAAGTTCAGTTGTTACACCGCCTTGTTCTCTGTTAACACTTGCCAAATTGCCAAATTGGGCCTTTACAGCTTCCTGTAGCTCAGGGCCTTGCCATGTCTAAATCTGGCCCTGGCTTTTGGGCAACCTTGTACTTAATATGGTGCTTGTCGAGAGAGAAGTTGCATTTATACTGCAGTTGGAAATAAATTCTCAAATTGCATCGACTAAACCCCGTAGATATTAGTTTGTTAAAGGTGATCTGGTTTTTGACTTGATGTATATATCTTATACGGTACTGTATAGCACTTGATCATATTGCAACTATAGTGGTACAGTACTGTACACTTTTAGAAAAAAATGTTGGAACCCAGTAAAACAAATGAGTAACTTGTAAGTTTTAGTAATATTGTTTCCAGGTTGAGTTGCTTTAACTTTTCTATGGTTGGTGTGAACATCTTGAGTTTGTGTTGTGAACTTTCATTTCATTAAAGAGGTATCTGGCATCATGTGTGTTCTTCATCCTGTTTAAATAATATATGGTACTGGTGTATTGGAGAGACAATGTAATACCCAATAAGTTTTATGAACTGCATTTACTGTACTTTGGAATAGAAGTGTCAAGGTCACAAAAATATGGTATTGCAGTATTGTACAGTCTAGTCATTATCTATGCTGTCATGGGTAGTGAAAATATGTAGTTAAAGATGGAATGTTTACTTTAGAAATTCGTGAAAATGTGAGGGTTGGTTAAAAACACGCAGATAACAAGCATTGCCTTAAATTTTTGGGAACGATGGTAAAACAAAAAGCCTTGAGGTTTGAAGATGAATTGTGGAGTAATATAGTAACTGATTTTATACCTGTTTTTTTAACCAATTTGTCACTATATTTGTATTCAGTTGGACACCATTCTCGAGAAACAAAAAATTTGAAATCGTTAGAAACGGATTTTACAAAACTAAACTCTTGACAGTTGTGTATACTGTTGTATGCACGAGCATTGCCCACGCTTTAATTATGATCTTGCTGTGTAGTACTCTACGTGATCACATTATAGGTGGTAAATTTTCATAATTTGGTTGTGCTATCTTGTACGCCAATTGTTTTTCAATTTGTCTATTTCCTTAACCTTATTAGCAAGAAACTAAGTAAAACTCTCCCAGAAGATACTTTTCGAACTGAAATGTTATTACCTCTGAAATGGACAAATTATAGCCTTTACTATTTCCTCTGGTCTCTGCATTATTTTATCACTTTACATTCCCTGGTCAATTCTAGAGTTAAAGCAGCTCATACCAGATGCTATCACGACTTTTTCTGATAGTTTTCTGTATTGGTAGTTTCTTTAATTCGTAACTCCTATGTCATCCGACAGATTGATTACTGTGTAGGTATAGACACTATAGGCAACTGGTAGGTGTATGTGCAGTATAACCTGAAAGGGTATAGGTAAATTAGATGCTTGTGAGTGTTCCCTTGTAGTAATACAGTATAGAGTTAATTCAAAATGTGCTGATAGTGGAATTCGAGTACAGGTATATGCTTATGGATATTACTTTTCTGCATCTAATTCCTATTGCAGTCTTCTTGACAATTAAAGTTAAGAGGTTGTGTAGAATCTTTGGATTAAGTTGCCAGAAAAAAAGTTATATATTCAAGCAGCAATCGGAATCTGGGCCGAATTTAGTCATGCCCCATCGTTGGGTGGTGTAACTGTAATGACTGAATATGGCTCTATAACTGATGACTGGGATCTTACGGAATACATACCTTTAGTTAAGCATTATACAACAACAGTACACTTGTATGCTTATCAGTTTATCACCCTATCTAACAATAAGTGATCATAATAGTTTATGTAATCTTAAACGGTATCGGGATGTTGAGTGACTGGAGATTTGTGAAATTACTCAAGAAAAAGGTACAATCATACAGTAAATAGTTTTCATAATTAAGCCACTAAATCCAGACAAATTTCAGCTAACACCAGAAGATCTTTTTTTTTTAAAGATGATAGTAAGTAATAAAATGTTACGATAATGCACAGAACCTAATAGAACCCGACCTAATCAAAGAAACTTAACTAACTTTCTAACCCTGCCATATTAATCAGCAAAGAACTTACAGTACTTTAACATCTGGTACCAATGAAAGCAACTTTCTTGAAGCAGCATGGTGTATTTTTTTTGTGGATGTGAGAGTATACTTGGTTGTTGCACTGAAACAAAAATTCGAAACTTAAAAAGCGCTAACACAGCAGATTTTTAGGCCAATTATTTACGGTTAATAATTTCTTCGCAGACAAAGTACGTAAAGACGTCATTTTAGTGCCATATGAATGACATCAGTTTTTTGTCGTGTTTTACCCCGCATTTTCCTTATCCTGCATACCTTGCCCACTACAGGCGATTTGTGAATGTAGGGAAAAAAGGGCGAGCCGACAAAGCTATCAGTTGCTTATTTCCAGGAGTAATGATGGTATGTTCGTGTTTCTGATATAGGTACTACATTACTGTACTGTACTGAGAACTTCAGTATTGGTGTTTGGAGCCCTTTTTTTCGAATTTCGTAATACTGTATTCATGTTCACTCTCAGCTGAACTGGCACAGTTAATTAACTGATATTGGACAATGAGTGTGAAACAAAATGCAAAGATTAGAACCAGAAGAAAAATGATATAATAAATTATCATAAAAATTCGCCGTCATAATAGTATTGTCAACTAGCAACGATAGAAGCAAGGAATATTATAAGGAACAAGACCTCCCTTAAATTTTCTTTAAGCCCCGACACTAGCACCATCTATTGGACAAGCCATAATTATAGAAAATGGTCTTTGGAAAACCATGCAAAAATCGTTCATTTTCTAACGCTAACTCCAATATTTCACACTGATTTGACTTTCTCTATCACCGGTAATCATTGAATTACTTTGTACATTTATCATTTTACCACTATCATATTATTAGTCGTTCAGACAGTTTGGCTGTTCTTGTTAATTATGTTATGACCTTTATTGCCCAGGGTGAGTAGTGTCACATTGGATAACATTTTTCTAATGTGTGTATGTCTAGTGGAAATAGAACTCGAACCCATGGTATATACGTGAGAGATACATAAATGCATTTCCACTGTGCCACCAACACCCTTCAAATTATTAAATGATTATAGTTACAGCACAAATCATTTCACTATTCTTTATCATTGTTTATGGTACCAATCGTCACACCTTTGCCCTTTTTGAGGATGATGCACAATAAGTTTCATACACTCCAAGGTAAAAAAAAATGATGGTGAACAAAAACACATCAAACAAAACAGAAAAACAAACAAACAAATATGAACACTGATGGAGGACTGGCAACTGGCAGCAGCCCTCTCCTGGCCTTATGTATCTAGGCCAATGGCGGACTGGCCCACCGGGATACCGGGAAATTTCCCGGTAGGCCCCAAAGTGATGGTCCATCACTTTGGGATTAAGTGGGCCCTTTTGGACCCCTTTAAGTGGACCCTGTGTCAAGATGGTTGTCAAACTCCCAAAACACATACAATGTTAAGAATAGCAAAACTATAATTAGAACAATTATAATTGTGAATTATAATTATAATTCACAAAAACGTGCACAGCAGAAAGTCAAACATGAAGCCCATTACAGCTACATGCACTAACTAAAAGCATTATACAGTACAGTACAGTACTTACAAACATAAAGCAATAAACATACCCTTCATTGCTGGATTACACTATATTAATGCAGTCAGTACCTATAAAGTTTAGCATCAACCTAAAACCAATAAAAATAATGACAAGCTCTACACGTACAGTAATATAAGGCAAGTACAGTATAAATACATACTAATTTGTATGTATTTATATATTTTTGTATACAGTAAATCAACTGCTGCCATATGGCTTCACAAAAATTGTGACCAAGTCCAAGGTTGCTGATCTTACTTTCTGCCTCATTTACACATAATTGCAGGATCTCAATTGGTTCTCTTACTTTGACAACACAACATACATACTGTATATCATTTCTCACTTCATTTTTATTTGTACTTTTGCATTTCTTTATGGTTCTTTATTATTGTTACAGTGTTATCTTTATTAATTAATTTTTAATTTTGTATTTTTATTAATGTAAATTTGTATTTACTATGAATTATTATTATTATTATTATTATTATTACTATTATTACTGTGAGTCAGTGATCTTTCGGGTGGGCTAATCCCCGTAAAAAAAATAAAAAAAAATTATTACCATCAGTTAACAATTTTGTTAAGCTTTCTATTTCCTTCTTATAATATTATCTTGCAACACTACAGGTATTTATAAATTAACAGGATTTTTTTTTAATTTACAATAAATTGCAACTTACACTCAGTAATACATAGGTTTATATATTTTGTTTCATCCATTAATGTCATAATTTTCTTGGACATATTTTTACACTACATTCCACTACATTGCCTCGGCATGGTTAAGGCACCAAAGACGGACTTCTCTCTCATTCTCTGCCTTAAAATTAAAGAAAATTTTGTTTTCATTGTCAAACTCCGGGTTTTCATCAACGAGGATCTCTCTACAAACATTTATTAACTGCTCAAACACAATACTGGTTACTGTACTACGGTACTGCTGTGTTATATGGAAGGAAAATACGTAATGAAAACAACCAGTGCTCTTACTTTTCTTCTACTGGTTTCCCACACCTTTAATTGCACATTTGAAAAGAGGAGGCCAAACTACACTAAGAGATCTATATAGAAAAGTGGGATTACTTGTCTGTTACTGAACAATGAAGTTTGCCACAAAGTAATAAGATACCTGCTGCCCGAATGGCTAGCAAGCTAAGTGCTGAAATGATAAACTATAATTGAACCGTCAATGCTTATGAACAAACCACATAAACTACGAATTTACCTTTAATATCTTTGGGGGAAAAATGAATCCTTAGCTCTCTAGTATTCCGTTTGTTCTTCCCACAAACAACACATCGGTTGCCGGCGTCGGGAGCCATGTTTATATCTACCGCCGCGCCACCTAGCCAACGGTGAAGCTCGAATTGTATCAAGGAACATCTAGATATTCCTTGATGTGTAAAGACAGACGACATATCAGCGATTCACCGCCATCTATAGGACAAGCATTCAACTTATAGGGATTGAATTAACCCTGGAAGAATACACGCTCCATACTGATATTCCTTGTAGGGAAGGTTGGCGGGGTTGAGGCCAGCAAGTAAAGAGTCCTGTCACCTGTGGCGTAGTCCTCGGAAGGTAAGAAGGAGTACAGCAGGAAACATGGCCAGTGCTATTCGCCAAAACTATCATGAAGAATCCGAAGCTGCAATTAACAAGCATATTAACTTGGAACTACATGCCAGTTATACCTTCCTCTCAATGGTTAGTTTACTATTGTTGTGTTTGTGTAAACTGCAGTTTACAGTTTTCTCGACAAATTTAGTTGTATGATGTATTCATGTCTATCAGTTTAATATAAGCACATGGAGGTGAATAAGTATTACATTAATATGTTATCACTTTTTGTGTTATCAGGCAGCAAGGACGTGACATGATGAATAATGACCTACAGTAACTGGAGTATGTAAACCCTAGCTTAAGAGTTATAAAAATTTTTAGGTAATGTAGGAGCAGATGGCTAACACCAGAAGGAGTTGTTCAATTGTGTATTTTTTCTACAGATGTTCTTTGGATGATGTTAAATTATGAAAATGATACAACTTTAAATTTTAATTATATGTACTTTCATTTTATTGATTTTTTTGTTTTCTCTGTTTATAATCACAAATCACCTGTAGTGGGCAGGGTATGAAGGATGAAGGAAATGCGTAGTAAAATACAGTGAAAAACTTAAAATATGACACTAAGATGATGTCTTTGTGCTTTTTACGCAAAGAAATAATTATTTACCGTAAATATTCCTTAAAAACTCTGCAGTTGTCGGCGGTGTTGTTTGCCCGGTTCATTTACAGGCCAACCGGCCTATTGCAGGCTCTTTATTTTCTTATGTTCTTATATCCAACCCGCTCGGTTTGAGCGTACTCTCATGTCCAAGAAAAATACATAAAATTACATCATGATGTTTTAACAAAGTTGCTTCCATTGGTACCAGATATCAAAATAAGTACTTAATGTGTAATACGGCTCTGCACCCATGCTAGGAAGTTAGGTAAGGTTAGATGAGTTTCTTTGGTTGGTAAGGTCAGGTTCTATTAGGTTCTGTGCATTGTCACATCATTCTAATTATTTACTATCAAACAAAAAAACGTGGAAAAAATGAACGAAATCGAACAGCGCAAAGTTTATTCTTCCAACTGATTTGATTTATTCTTGAGGTAAGAAACAAGTTTCCTTCTTCAGATATTTTCCGTTTGGTAGCTAGCTGATCAACCAGGACCCTTGACCTTAAATATTATCTAAAGTATTTATCTTTTATAGAAAAATTTCCTTAACTAATTGGTTAATTCGTGATGCTGTTCCAGAGTTTTACCTGATTAACCAGGGTTACCCTAGGAAAGTTGAGGAAAGCATATTTCCTGTAAGATTTTTTATTAAATAGAAGAAAGTGTTTTGTTACCCCATTTGAGTGTTTTTAGTAGGAACAATTCACTGATAATTCCCAAACTTAAAAGTATCCAGTGTATTGTACAGCATATTGTTCAGTGGTTCATTAGTACTAAAGGCAGATGCTGTTCAGTAATGATTTGCTTTCTTTTGGGAGTGTTGGATGTAAAGCAGTGGCGAGCTTGCCTCACACCGTTGTTTTTTGGTTTCAATCCCTGCCCCCAAGTGATGTGAGAAGGGTCCAGTGTTACTCTACCAAATATCAGAGGTTTTCTCAGGGTTTTCTGGTTTCCTCCTGTACCAATGCTGAACAGCAAAAGTCAAAACAGATGAACATAATAGGCTAACCACCAAAAGGCAAGTCAGAAGGGAGGTGGTGGAAATGATAAATAATGCATATCACCACTGCCATCAAGGCAGACCTGCCCCTGAGGCTTACTCATTTTTCAGTACTGTACTGTACAGGGTTACTCCTTAATTATAGTGGGCTTAGTTGAGCTGCGAGAGATCCCAATTCTAATTTTACTTGATTTCTTGAATAAGTGGAGGATACCTGGATGTCTTGGGATCAGAACCCTTGCTTGCAGAAACCAAAGAGGTAGCCCACCTTGCTCCTCTGATGCACTATCATGGTGTAATCCACTCAAGTACCCACATGCAATCATGTATCCACTTGTCAGTGTTGCTCAGAACAGATAGCCAGTTGATAACCACACTCGTGTATACTGTACAGGTTATTTGTTTGTTATCAAAGAAAACATGCTTTATCAATCTCTAGAAAAGTCAAGGGAAAAATTGCAGAAAATGCTTAGATAAAAAAAAAATCCAGCCCCTCTCCCTGGTAACCACACTGTTCCTTGTCCAAATTATTCGTATTCTGCACCATTTTCTACCAAGGTTTAGGTCTAGGGGTCAAACTGAGAAGCTTGCCAAAGCAGAACTTAAGTTGCCTGATCCATGCTGGACATAAAAAAGAATTTCAGGACATTCTTGTTTAGCATTTTTCATATTTTTCTTGCAGGAGAGGCATGCTAATATTTATCTTACAGATTCAAGTCATGTTATTACCAGATGATTATACTGTATACCGACTTATATGCAGGGGTATACAGTATTAAGCTTTTGTTTTCATGAGAATCTCTGTTCCAGGGCTATCACTTTGAGAGAGATGATGTAGCACTTCCAGGATTGTCCAAATTCTTCAAGGACCACAGTGATTTTGAGCTTGATAATGCTCAAACGTTGATGAAGGTAAGTGTATGCTGTATGGATTTTGTTTGACATATTTATCCTTGACTTTTAGTCAATAAGTAAAATACTGATGACTGAAATTCTTTGGGAGAAAAGGTTAGGTGTTCAAAAACTTGCCACCCACATGATTTATCTTTGTAATGATTACTACAGTATATGCATACTGTATATAGAAATTAATTTTCAGTATCATTCTGATGTAAGCTAAACTTTGTATCTTTCACAGTATCAGAACCAGCGCGGGGGCCGTGTTGTATTACAGGCCATACCTGCACCCTGCCAACAGGAATGGGGACAAGGGATGGAGGCTCTCCAAGTAGCTTTAGATCTTAAAAAACAAATAAATAAGGTAAGAAAACTTCCATGATTTGCATTTAGTGCATTGAATAAATACAGTATAGTATAGGATTTTGGTAGTACTGTACACACCTGTCTTGTTAAGCGAGCCGACAATTGTACTACAGTATTTGGGATTTCAAAGTTCTCTCTCTCTCTCTCTCAACACCATTAGCACATGTTATGAATGAAGTTTATACTTTTTCACTAGCCATAAATATTTTCACTTGTGCCCACGGTCTAAATGTAATAGGAGTGAGTTCTGTGCGAGACGAGATGCATAGTTTACTCTCTCAGACTCGTAAAACTTTCCCCAGAAACATTCCGAGGATGTGCGATAGTGTCTGTCCAGCTAGATGTGTATTTTTTTTTCCCAGTACAGTACCCAGAAAAACTCAAGAGATGTGGGACTTTCCGTGTTTGAGAGGGTCGTCTCATTATCCGGAAGGTGTGCACCAATTATTCCGGCTACTGGGGATACCAATGTACTACTATATTGTATCCCAGGATAGGTATTACTGTACTGGAGTATGGGATGCCAATGTGACTGCTGACAAATGAGAGAAATCTATCAAGAGGTAGATAAATAGTATTGTATACTGCAATTACAGTACAACAATTAATAATGTCACAGTCTGCGTATAAGATCAAATTTGGATTTCCAGAGTCTCCTAGATGTTCGTGAAGTGGCGTCAAAAAAGGACGACGCTCATGCTGCCCATTACCTGGATGATACTTTCTTGGATGAGCAGATTAAGACCATCAAGAAACTTGGGGACATGCTGAAACAGCTCCAGAGGGCTGGAGAGAAAGACCTGGGACTACATATTTTTGATAGAGATTTGTAGTAATTTTTACCTATGGATTATGATTAATTAATTTAAAAATTTCTTGAAAATATGACATACTAGTCTTGCAGCTTTTTTAATTTCGATTACCAATTTTTTTGTCAAGTTTAATGCATTTCTGGTGTACTGTACTTGTAAAGTATTATATTAGATGTAATTCTGTAGGGAATAATTGATACACAATTAATTTTCCCATTAGTGATGGGATAAGGTTGTTGTTGACAGAAAGTAGAATTTTTTTAAGCTTCCTATAAAGGTTGGATTTACACAATTTATGCTTTGTGTAAATTTTGCTGTCAATTTTGACAATTGTCATTTGAACCAATAGATTTTAGGCTTATGTCTTGCTTTCATTCATCGAGCATGTAATGTATTAATCTTATGTATTCTATACAGTATTGAACAGTTTTACAGTAAAGCTTGCTTAACCTGTAGATTTTCATTGTATGATTCACCTTTTAATGGGAGTGATTACATAGGCAGTTAAGATCTCTAGATTACTATCCACTATTTTCATGGACCAAGTTAATGATTTAAAAACCTTCAAAAGATTCAAAGACTGTATGTCTAATGGATAATAAAATACTTAACTCGTTTCATCTTTGTTAGCATAAATAACAAATTTGTAACTGCCAAAGGCACATGGAAATAGCATATAGAATGATTCTATTTACATATATACAATATATTTTTTTGGTTCAACTTCTCTGTGTGAAAGTTTGAAATGTAACAAGTTAGTACTCATTCTTGGACACATCTATTAATTATGTAATATTATCAATCTGTTAGCGGACAATAACTATTCGTAATATAAACAAGTTATAGATAATATATAAATACTCTTCGTAAGTCTGGCCCTATTCAATGTACAAATATATAAAATAAATTTGGTTTCAGTCATTAAAAACATGACCATGTAAAAAGTGAAGATACAGGGAAGCAGAAGACTTAGTTCCAACACAACTAATATTGCTTATTCTCACAGTTGCCAACAACTCTACCAAAACAGCTGCCAACGCATTGTTCCACCTTCATACATATAACAATATGTCACCTTTCAACAATTCTGGGAATAACATCAAAGACTATACAAGCATGCTTTAACGTCAGGTTTGGACCCGAGGTTCATTTTTAAAACTTTTTCTTTAAAACCTACAAAGGAGAGTGCCTACTTCCTTAATGTAAATTTTTATGATAAGTATTTTCACAATATAAAGAAAGTGGACACACTCCCCAACATTGGAGACAGAGCAGGTACACAGGTAAGCCTTGGTAATCTAGCATAATAGTGAGGTTTGCCTTGCCATAGGCATTCACCAGCACTCAAACTTCCAAGAACTGTTGAAACGTCTCAATAGAACACATTTGCACAGTCTTCCTATGAGTATGATCATGTGAGAATTATCAAATCTCCTGAAAAGTGGAAGACAAGAGGGAAGTATCACTAGTGGAAGGCACAGCATATACAGACCCTTTACGCTATTTGTGACATTCCATCACTCCCACATTAATGGGAAGCGTATTATGTGAAAATGTTTATCATTTCTTGAAGTCAAAAATCCTTAAATGTACATCCTCTTTGCCTTATGAGCAAATAATGCCATACAATGATCTTCTGTGGCTGTAATATTATCTTAAGAAAAATAAACTGTGAAGATCCCTGTGGGTGAGTTCAACCGGGATTCTTACTGTCAAGTGAGTGAGTGAGTGAGAGACATGAGACGTCCACCCAGCAACACAGGCATATGGAAGCCTCTTTATGTAAAAGATGAGAACCCTGAAGAAAGCAGACATCTATACACGCGTCTTGTGTCAACAATTCAAGCTGTAAAATAAGAGATTCAGCGACTAAAATGGTAATGTTCTTTGTGTCTGTCGTAGCTTTAGTCCAGGGTCTCCTAAATAAATAAAAGTAAGCCTGGTGGCACTGGATAGACTGAGTCATGAACAAAAATAATATACGAGACCACTGAACGATCCCCTATATTTTTAAAGGGAAGATCAGACCTCCACACCCTGGTCTTCTGTGCTGAAAAGAACATCAGGGCGGAAGACCTTGGGAATGGCACCAGTGGTTGATTGCCTGGCAGTTAACTGCCTCACTAATGGGGAGGCAGACCCAGGCATGGGAGGTGAAGTAGTGGTTGAGGTGGGTGTTGGTGATGAGGGAGATGATGTATGTGGAGATTGTGTGGGAGTGTGTTCACCAGATTTTTGATCTTCACTTGTGACACATGATGAATGAGATATATTTTTATGATCTGAAGTAACCGATGCATACGATGGTAATGTAGTGGCTGCCGTAGGTTGAAGAGGGCTGAGTGGTTCAGTAGGAGAAGCCACTTCATTGTCTGAATCCATACTCAATGGAGGAATGGTGGGACTGGATTTGAGGAAGAATGCCATTTTTTCCCTGAAAAAGAAATTAAATAATGAGTTATTGTAAATTAGTTTCAGACAATGCAAAAATAGGCATAACACTAAGTGTTGGAATCGTGTCAGCCAGATAGCTGTCAACCAAATGTGATGACACATGACCTGAACAGATCAAAACAAATCCCCAGGTGAATGAGGTACAGATATCTGTCCAAGTGTACTGGCCTGCACGGTTTAGAAATTAATGAAGTTCAATGGAACCATTCACATGGAGCACCCAGTAATTTCCTATGGTTATTGCAAATTGTGCTTAATACTGTATATGGTTAAAAGGACCTCCACAGCACCATAAAGCTAGTGAGAAAAGATATACAAGCAATGTCTAATACTGTGTGATTCATTATGGTCAACTCTAAAACTGTATTCCAGACTTACTTAAATGACACAACATCAGGTTGACCTCGAGGTGTCTTTGAATTTCGTAGTTTGTGAATCTCTCTTGATGTTTTCCTCAGCATTTTCTCCATCCTTCTGTCTTCAGGTGACTTAACACCACCACCTTTCGTGGCCTGAAGAAAGAAGAAAATCATAAATAAAATCGGCAAGGAACATTTCATCATAAAATTTTGATGCATTTACACAGCGCAGAATTTACTTATTTACACAAGGGAGTTATTGGTTTTTATACATGTAGCATGCTAACATATTCCATAAGAATGATACAGTAATTGCTAAAGTAAGTCGAAGAGATACACTTCATAAAATAACCATCCAACATTATGGCATTGTCTTTAATGCTACTACACAATAACTTGCCTTTTAATTTGCTTAAATACTAGACCAAATATCTTCCCGACAGGTTCAAAATACTGTACACATCTACCTTAAGGTATAAATGATGCCTTCCTGTTTTATATCAAACAAACACCTATCAGTTACTGCAATAATCAACTCATGGTATTAAATAAATGCAGAGCACCACATTCTGTAGGATGACTCACCTGTGTGAGAACACTGGTCATGGTGGTCTGGTCTGCCAGCCATGATGGTGGGTCAGGGGAGTTCTTAACACTTTCTAGCTGAGTCTTGAGACTACGCAAACCTTCCAGCTCTTCATGTAGCTGACGGAGACGACGTTGCTGAGCTGCTAGATCCAACTCAAGATCCAAAGATGTACGGCCACCCTTCATTCCTGAAATTCAAAGCACCAATTGGTTACCTTCTGTATGACAAAGGTGTACAAAGAATTCAATGTAACAACTTACCGAATTAAGTGAACAAATTCTTCACTACAAATAAGTCTCCAAGCAGTTCTTAAAAATCACAGTAAAACTGTAATTTACAATCAAATTTAAGGCATCTTGTAAGGACTGAACTATTCAAATGCAAAGGCTAATTGTACATGAAAAGTGAAATTGAACAAAAAGGATTACAAGGCACTGCACAGTATGCCCTTTACAGGTATGATCTATAGTACTGGGTAAGATTTTTCAGGTATTTTGTTCAAATACACTTGTCAAACAACACAAGCAACAAAGACCTGTTTTTGTTTTTAATTAACTTTAATGTAGTCTTTTGATTGAAGATGAGAGGCCAAAATTCATTCAAAATATGCTGACAAATGAAAATACTAAACCCGACCAAGATTTATACATAATGTACGTAGTTCCATGAAAAAATTAATACAGTGGGGTATGCTATAACGAATCTAATTGGTTCTAGAACCTTGTTCGTTATAGCATTCGTTCGTTATAGGATTAATCCGTTCCAGGCCCCCAAATACAACCACTTAACACTGAAAAATATAATATAAAATTGTAAAAATTGTAAAAAAGTGCATAAATATGCATCTAAACCCCTGAAATAAAGAATATCATTTAATATTTGTAATAAAAAAACAATAAATTAGAAAAAAAAAAAAAATTAAATAATGTTTGTTGTAGGAGTTTAGTTCGTTATAGCATTCTCAATTTTATAGGTAAAACCGTTCGTTATAGGAATATTCGTAGTAGGATCCGTTCGTTATAGCATACCCCACTGTAATAATTCATTTAAATTGCTCAATATTCCTTACGAGTAAACCACTGACAGTTTGCCTTATAGACTTTTCATACAAATGTCGACTATAACTCGAACTACATACTATGCATGAATTAATAAGTAATAATAATAGACTATCTGGGATGAATTAATAATTAAGAAAGTACAGCAATACATACAGGTACACCACCGATTTTCCGGGAACGTTTGGTCCGGCACCTCTTTTAATCCGGACAAAATTACGAAAGGGCACTTAACTTCCCTCCCTCCCTCCCAGCCATGGTGAAGTTAGTTTTAGGCTTAAAGTTTTTATCTTATAAAATGTAGTTGACTAGACTTAGCAGAATATAACTGGCATTGCTGGAATCCTTGTAAGATAGTGATTAATTTGAGTATAAACATCATATAGTTTCCAAAAAAGATAAAAATTTTAGTCTTGTGTAGTAAATTTGGGTAAAAAGTGTGTACAGTAATGCTGCTCAAAATTGTGGCTTTTTCACATTTAATATTTGTTTAATTTAAATTTATAGCAGTCCATGGTGCTTTAGAGACATGGTAGGTGTATAATTAGTGGGTCAGAGGTGTATTGTTGAATTATTATTACTTGACCTCGGTTGGCCCGGCAAAACGGATAATCCGGAAAGGCTTTGCAACCAAGGGTGCCGGAAAATAGGTGGTGGACCTGTATTATTATCTACTGTTTCTAATTTTCGCTAAACCAAGCATTGTGACAAGCTATTAATACACAAAAATCAAAATTTAGACCCTAATATCCTAGACTACAAAACCTGTTAAATAAATCACAAAACAAAAACACAGAATTGTATGACTAGAATTTTCAAATGAATATTAAATAACTAAATAAACAAGATACACCAATAATGACAAAGATGCATGTAAAATTATATATTATGTATCACATCACTGTACACTGGACAATACATTAACAATGACAATAAAATATGCTACTGTATTCAGATTGTGGGTCATTAGCATGAACAATGTAAGGCAATAAATGGATCATGGGTCAGGAAAAGGCTTAAGGATTTATATTAGTAAAGGGGGAAAACAAGAAATAACAAATGATTTACACAAAGTGACTGATATGATTGTAAGTGATTCTAATTTCTTAAAACTGTATAAAGAATAACATAAAAAGTGAATTAATTATAATGCACATTTCTCTGTACTGTTGATGATTAATAAGATGTACAATGTTGTGCATCCATGTACAGTCCTACTACAGATCTATTTTGTTTACCTGATGACCCAGGTGACCTGGAAGATAATCTTAAGGACCCTCCAAGACGACCTTTCCATCTTAAAGATCTTCTTTCTGCTGTTCCACGTTGGAATGGTGCCCGTCTGTACATGGGCACACAACTGTCACTGTCACTGCGGTTCAGCTAAAATAATGAAATGCATTTTGTAAGTATCAGGAATTTCTGCCAGTTTCTATGCAGTACAGTATACAACAAAAAATACAAAGTTGATCAAGTTATAACACCATTTAAATGTAACCATGCTAGTACCAGTTAAATTAATATCACCAACACTCAGTTTATATCATTGATTAGAGGATAAATCTTCACCTAAGTATGGTATAATCTTTCACTACAAGAAAAACTACATACAATAAAAAGCCAAAAGTAATGTGCACAATAAAAACACTGAAAAATCTTTGCAGCTCAAAGATGCACAAGTCATCCCCTTCATCATTGGGAAATGCAACTCTTCATAAACAAAGCAGGATATTAAATTTTTCCAAGTACAAAGGGTCATTACTTCAAAAAATATAGTTGGATATTATCTCTACTGTCCTCAAATTTACACTAAATCTCAAGTGATAAACTAGTTTATTCCATATTCAGTTAAAATCCAATCACATGTGTTTAAATCATTAATTAAAAAACAAAGTATTAGGGACTGACATTCAGACTGACAAGAGCTCTTGGGTATATCTTCCTAATCTTCTACCAATGGCAAGGAGATAAAAAGCATACAGATACTAAGGAGCACTATAGTTCTAGTACATAAATGGAAGTACAGTAAAGTAGTATATAAAATAAATAAAAAGTTAAAGTTGCTGTTAAATTATAACTAATTTTATTTGATGCATAATTACCTGTCGTAAAAGGTTTTCCACTCCACACACAACTTACCCGACAGACGTAGTGGCTCTTGCCCACTGCAGCAGATGGAGTAAAGGTCTGGGACCTCTTTATCACTGGGATTCCAGGCTTGGGGTCGGTCCCCTCGACCCTTGGAGGTGCAAGGGACGTGCGTGACCCTGCCAGACTGGCCGACAGGGGCATAAACATGCACTCTGTGTTGGTCTCTTTGTCGGCCATCTCGACCAGCTGATCAGTGGAGTCTCCCTCAACAGCTGTGTCCTCCTGTGCAAGCGTGCAATGTTGCCACATCAGCACAACAACCATGCAATGGTGCAGCCAAAGTGCTAACAAAGCTATACCACTAAACCAACATCAAACACACAATGTTCATATTTTCATTAATGCAAATTCAACTTCAGTTTTCAATTTAAATTGCAAGAGTGAACCTCCTAAGCTTATACCCATCCCTTGACATCCAAAAACACAAACTATCAAAGGAGTATCAACATCAGAGCTAATATAAGCACATAATGTCAAAGACATTAAATATAAAAAAAAAACATGCAAGGAGACAGCACCATGTTATTTATGACTTTAAAGCAAATATTAATAAAAGGCATAGCATCTGAGAGTAAAACAGAATACAAACATTCCAAATGATCACAAAAATATGAGGCAAACCAAAACTAGGGTGAGAAAATGATATGCCTCCCAAAACAAAAATAGTTGCCACATAGACAGATGTTCAAGCACACCCAATGAGCATTTACTTACAGCATTCTCTAGAGCTTCTTCCATAACCTCTTCCTGGCCTACTTCAAGCTCTTCCTCCTCTTCCTCTTCATCATCATCATCGTCTGAACCTATCACATGCTCAAAGTCCTCTGATGTGAGATGGAGGTTGAGGCGCAGGGCTTCAGGTCCAAGGTTACGAGTTAGGGTAGAGGTCTGTGATGATATGATTGTGGACTCGTCACTGCTCTCCTCCTGTTCAGTTCACGAAAAAATATGCAGATATTTAATAACCATTGTTAAAGTATTATAAATTTCTTCACATTCCAGTTTAAACCTAACTAGCACCATAGGTTAGGCCTTCAAGGTCAGTTGCAGCACCTGATGTGTTATACCCACTATGACGATCACTGCCTGTTTTTGATTGAGTAGGCATTATTATATGGTTCCCTAGCCAGACTGGTATCTCTGAGGCTGAAATTGGTCACAAATTATAAAATACCAAACAAGCACATTACAGTATTGTAAGTGAATAATCATTTATTATCAGAATTATGCCAAAGATTACAGTACTTACTCCTTCACATGTTTGTGTTCTCCCAGTTTAAATATATTTTCTACATTAAATAAATGCGTAACCGTTAAAAAATCAAGGTCCATAAGATAAGCATTTATAACTTACAATGATATTAACTCAAAATATTCTTATGTTATAATGAAATTTAAATAAGCTTACAGAATGATGAAGAAATAAGGGGCTGATCAATACCCCTAGATAACCCTTTACCAATGATGATGTGGCTAGTTCTGGAATTCTTTTTACATAACATGTGTTTTGGCAAAGCTAGAAGTGAGTCAGAAGCATTAAATATTCTTTCAGATATTTCAACAATCCCAAAAATCTGTCATCTGGGTAATCAGCCTGGGATCACCAGTAATATTTGTCCATTCATTATGTCACTCCATGGCAAGCATCTGCTTCAAACTACATCCCAGCAAAGTTCACTTATAAAAAGCCCTTTCCTTATTTGTCCAGCACTTTTTATACTCAGCCATGTCAAGTCCATTCTTGTCTAAAATATGATTCCTACAAAGCGTGGGAAATGGGTAAAGAATATTAGCTTTTCTTGCAAACTATTCTTCTTACTTTGACATTTGAGGTTGAAACTGAAGACCGCAAGGTTGATGATTTGGAGGATTGGTCATCCCGAGTCAGATGGTCTGGTCTCAACATGGCAAAGTTGAGAATATTGTACCATCGAGTCTGTGGTGTATCCAGGCAAAAGTCTGCTAGACTTATTTGAGCGTATCCCTGCAAAAAAAAAAAATAATAATAATAATAATAATTATAATAACAAATAAAACTAAACAATATATAAATAGTGATTAACTTTACATTTTAGCACATTATCACAGGTGTGAGGTTCATAAATTGTAGTTTTCATCAATTCAATTTATGGTTAACACCAATAACCATCAGAGACTGCACCAAACCAAAGGGCAAAGGACTACAAAATGATAAACATCAATGGTGTCTTGGCACTTACCACACACTCCTCATCAAAGGTTTCATTGGTGTCGCTGACTGCCCATACGTTGACCTGCAGAGTCTTAGATGGAAGTTTACGAGGTGCAACAGGGAAGGCAAAAGTTTCCCCAAAGGTTGGTCTTTCTGTGTTACTGTCCAGGTGTGTGCAGCAGGTGAATGTTGCCGCACCAGCAGGGAACAGTTGTACCTTAATACATCTGTAAGGTTAAAAGACCTTCTCAGTATGAAAATGTATGGTAATCAAAGGACTCTTAATGATACTATCAGCTTTTCAACTAAAATCATAATAATTTTACCGCTGAGAACCAAGAAAGTAGGTGCCTAGCTTAAGTCTTTAGCATCACTTATTATAATCATCAGAGAGCAGAAGTTTATACAGAATTTAAAAAGATAAAATAATTCAAGTGCTATTCAGTAAAAGCAACCCCCTTTACTATCATATAGTATCTAACTTATTACACTTCCAACAATCACCACTAGGGAGAGCTAAGGATATTATGCAGAAAACCACTACCAGTATCTTTCACCGTACACACATCTAAGAATTCTCAGACTTGGATGAGTTGATAGAAACTATGAAAATATTAGTAAGAAAATTATTAATAGTTTTCTCTGACAGTCCCTTGTAAACCAGACACAAGGTGCTTGATGTATCTTCAAAGAAAACATAGGCTACAGTTATCCAGTACAAAGAAGGCCAAGACGTACACTTTGCAGCCATCCTCTGTGTTGAGCATGGACAGGTTACGTGCTCTCTCCACTCCCACATTTAGTAAGCTCTCTTGTTTGCTGTATCTGAGGATTGAAGAATAGTACAAATTAAACTCTCTGTTGAAAAATGGTACATTAGTGGGTTGCTTCAGTGTAATTCTAATTATTGCTCTGGTTGATCCACAGCAGCAGAAATCCCATTAAATTAAATATCTCAACATGTACAGTAATTAAATAAGCCAATATACCCTTCCAATACATCATTATATATAAGTACCTGTACAGTATTACCAGTAGACAAAACTGTACTGTATAACTTAATAAAAGTGTTCAATGCAAATCCATAAACAAAATACACGAGGATATCTCAATACACTACGTATCTATCCAGAACTGTATCAGGCAACTAAAACAATTGCACTCATCTGATGTGATTATGTGTACAGCCTCATTGATGAGTTTAAGTACTGTACTGTTTGCTCACTACTATACCCTCCAGCACTTGTATTAAGCAGAAATATTAATAAACTGAATTACTTAAATACTGAAATTATTTTTACTATTTTTGTTCAGTAATGGCACACCAAAATTATAATATTCATAAAAGTAAATCTAAATAATATAGTACTGTACTGTATTTGGTAACCTGACCATTTTGTTGATCTCAAGCAGGTAAGTGCACAGTATACAGGTTCACCACATATATAACTTACACATGTTTGCTTTTGTCATTATTCCACAGTTATAGTCATTGAAATTACAGTAAAACCTCCATAATCTGGATTAATAGAGGCTCTACCCTTTCTAAAATTAGGTTAATTTGGCATTATGATCAATTGTGTAAGATACTACAGCTGCCAGCAATGCCTGATTTATTTTCATTGTATTCTATCCAAATATTTGTGTATACTGTACAATAATGTAAAATGTATTAGTGTTCAACAGCAAAGATTTATTTCAGCCAGCCAGGTAAACTAGGTGAGGTTTCCGGGTTTTGTTGCATTTTATCAATTATCGCTGTGCCTTATATCAGTGTTTAACAACAAAGATACAGTTCAGCCAATATGTAAGAAGAGGTTTGAAGGTACAGTACATATATTTAAACTACAGTACAGTAATAATTAACCTTCCTTTCTTCCTTAAGTACAGTATAGCCTTTAGCACTTTATGTAATGCAGTAAAAGTTGTTTGTTACCTTCTCAAGATTATGATATATATATATATATATATATATATATATATATATATATATATGGAGAAAGGAGTTGTTAAGTTCACAGACATTCTTAACTTCACTTATTTCCTTTTTCTCAATATTCTGCATTAGTTTTTTGCCATGACTCCCTAAATAAATACAGTATAACATAAAATAAAAAAGAACCATCTGTTAAGTTCTCTATGGTTTTTAAATGGCAGCTGTTAGACTACAGTACAAACTTAAGTATTGTACAGGGTAATCATCAAAAATATACTAATCATGTCGAAACAAAATAATGGTAACACCCAATGCTCTCTATGCTGTGGCTTCTCCCAAATCCTTAAATTTCATTGCCTAACCATGGACAAAGGGATGCTTTGCGAGACACTGCCCATATAAAATGTAATTTGCTATGATTCAAATATGGTTGGAAAATAGATGATTTAAATTTCCCAAAAATAGATAATTCACAAATTGTGGAGGTTTTAGTGCACTGTACTTGGAGAATCCTCAGTCCTCTCTGACAATAATATTCCCATTAAGCTCCTGGTAATGGTACAAAACTTTCAAACTACAAATGCATCATGGATGGATAAATCCTTAATTACACAAACAAGAGAATCCGGAGGTTCCTTTTCACTTAGCTGGAGTATGAGTACAGAAAAATAGTGATATCGCTGAGAGGAAACTGTAATGGAATCTCACAGCCATCACCAAAATAATATGTGGATGTAGCAGACACATAACTGAGCCCATCTTAAGCCTCTGCAATGGCATTCAAATTGTGATCTTTAATCAATCAACCTAATTAGCAAAATCAGAGAAATCTTCAAACACTTTTCTAAATTAGTAAATACCCGGTATGGCTCTTGGAAGAAACATGAAGCTATGATCCCAAAAAGCCACCAACAACAGAGCCAACAAGCCATGAACACGTGACCCCAGGCTTTGTTTTTAGTTTTCCAGTAAATTTATAAACCATGGTGACTGGAGGTAACTGAAGATAATGCAATCCGCAGTCACGCTATACCTTCTTATACTAGAGTGTAATGATTTGTGATGCTGCACAGCTCATTATTTCAACAGCAGATATTGCGCCTAACTGACAATATCATAAACAAGGTTCACAGCTAGTGGGATCCCAGTCACTCCTCACAGTGAAACTATCAAATTGGGAGGAAGCAGAAAGAAGCTCCAAGTGCAAAGCAACATGCACCCAGTAAAAAAATAAATAAATATTTTAATAAATAATTAAAATACGAATTAGGGACCGAAGATGATCCCCACCAGAACTAGTTCCAGAAAAGTCAAACAAATTTCCACTTGACATGGATCACATCAACCATGAAACCAGGTCACCCCATATTCAGACCCACCACCAGGAACTAATTAAACCCAAAAATTGGAACCTGGAAAATGTGAACAGATAACTAGTAGCTATAATTGAGAACATTGGAGACAGTTGTTGAATAGAACTTAAATAATTTGATTTTTTTATTCTGAAATTCTTCTGATGAATGAAAACCTCCCCTAGAGAAAACTGTCCCCAAAATCTCCAACCATTACAGCCTAACTTTACACAAAACCTTGCCAATACTCTCCCTACCCAGCCAGCCTAAGATCTGAACTGGGTTTCTATTCTCTCAAAGTCATATTATACATTCCTTTCATCACTTTCATACCAGCTCACTCAAGTCTACACTGCCCATGTTTCACTTTCACACAATACACTTCTTATGCTGGTATATAATTTATCTTTCCAATCAAACAAAGAGAAGGTCCTCTAACTGTCAATAAAGGCAAGCACTTCCTGAACTACTTCCTGCCACTTCTGACTCTTGCAACTGTGCTAGCTTCAGCACTAATCACATCAGCCAGGTAGCAGGAGTGGTTAAAGTAGTCCAGAGATAAATTCATAATGTAAAGCTTTTTAAGCCTTGCTAATGTCACCTGAACATATGGCAGAGTCAGCAAAATCTTCCAGTCTGCCATATACTGTACACCCTTCAACACTTTAACGCTGAAGCACAGTTGACACAAACACCATCATAAAAATTTATTACAATGGCATATGGATGGTGCATATTGCATCATCAGATGAAAATACGTTAGATGCACTAAAATTAAATTTAATATAACAAACATTAAATATATATACAGCATAACATTTACACTCTATAAATTCCATACTGTAATATTAATAATGATAAAAAGATACAAACTGAAAAATTTTTGCACAGCAGCAGCTACTCATTCACACATCCCATGTACAACAGAAGAGGATCTTTCAATAGCATTCTTTTTCCCAAGATCATCAACTTCATAACATTCTTCTTACCACTTTAACGCTCTTTCACGCAATACTGCACGTTCCATTCACTTTTGCATCAATCAATTTCATTCTTTTTTCCACCAACACACTCTTCAAAATTATTTAACTTCTCTATTAACCAAACTCCAACTACAGTATCATCCTGAACTTAGAGGCAGTAAAGGTGTGGTTCCATCATCATTATGAACATTTATCATTACTATAAGGAATGTGCACTACGTATAACTGTAAAGTAAAATTGTATGGATCAAGTACCAGGTACCATATTTTGTAATACCTGTACTGTACAAAGGTGCTTATAATCACCTTCCTTGGGCAGTCATATTATCACCAGGAAATTCAGGATGGGTTATCCACTGGTACAGATGGTGCTTTTTAGATTACATTAGCATATTTCAACATATTGTTATTTTAGGTATTGCAGCTGAGCTAGTCAAAATATATTACAGTACAGGGTATTCCTAAAAATTGGGAGTCTCTTCCTAAAGCACATTTACTTTTCACTCATTACTCATGCAATAAGGGCACACATTTATCACATTAAAATAAATATATACAAGTCGTATGGGTCATATACACTTGTAATAAGTGTAATGATCATACCAATATTATAGACACGTAGCTAAAATACCTAATCTTGTAATAAAAGGATGTACGCATATAAAGACACCGAAATTTTCAATATTCCAAGTTGGATAGCTACCTTTTGCATAATCCTCTTAACAAACTTTGGTGGGAGAGAATTAGGCATATGTGTGCATGGACATACAGGTGTAAATCATAATACCCTCCAACATATGTAAAGGAAGAATAAAAAAGAGTCTTACCTTAGTTTAATCTGCACCTGTGATGTTTCTGGTGGCGAGGCTGATCCCTTGGGATACGCTTCATAGACTCCTGAATCTCCAGCCACAGACTCATCACTCACTGCTGCTGACATTGTCCGTGCATTACTGTCTTCCCTTTCCCCAACACAGCCCTCCTCTTCCTCATCCACCATTTCATATAGCACATCACTTTCACCACTCGCCCGTCCTAATAATACACCACTAACACTTGTGTTTGCTACATTAAACTCATATTCTGTCAATTCCTTCACTTGTTTGTTTCCTATCAATGTGGAGTCTAACTGCTTGCCGGCAACCTTTGCCACATGAGGATTTGACAAAGCTCCAGACTCAGTCGTGGAAGGAGCGAGACACAATTCTACTAACCGGTCCTGTACCGTACTAAGATCTACATTGGCAAGTTGTCCATTCCCAGTGCAACCCCCTTCCCCTGGAGTAAACCGAGGTGGCCCAAGAGGGTCCATGCCTGAAAGAGCTTCACAGGCAGAGGTAGGTGGGGAGAGAGAAGAGAGGGAGCTCCGTGGAGACAATGATAACATGGACTGGGACAATGCAGCAGAATTTCCACTACTTTCTTCCAGGGTCCGCAGTTTTTCAGCATATTGCCGGTCAGCCTCTGAGTTGGACTTTAACAATCTTTCCACACGTTTTTGTAGTTCCGTCATATTAAGAGCAACATGCTCACTCGAAGAATATTGCTGTCCACCGTATATATCAGTAAATGACAGGCTGGATAAAGAGCCCTTGCTGGATGTGGACAAAGATCCCAGCGATGATGATGACGACACAGAGAGAGTTGATGCAGACAGTGACCGTAGCTGTCCCTCAAGGCCCACCATAATGCGTACTGTGTCACGCAAGCGGCACAACAGATCTTGTCTTTGTTCTTGTAAGGAAAGCCGTTCAGCCACTGCCTTGTTACTAACCTCCAGGGCCTTAGCCAAGTCACACTCCAATTGGTTGATCTTATCTTCCAATTCACAAACCTGTAAAGGGTCAATTGAATATAAACAAAAATAAAATTCTTATTTGTCTGTTTATATCACATACTGTACATGGCATTTTTCTAATTCTAAACAACACAATTAATGAGAAATTTTGCCACAAAATTTGGGTCAAAGACAATTCCTACATCTTTAAAAAGTAGATCAAACTATGAAGCTTGAGACATAACCAAAATACTTCTGTAAGCTAATAGGGGTAATACTTATGTGAAGTATTTGCATTTATATATGTGTGGAGGGATAGATTAATATGCAGCAATAAGAATAAGTTTTTTAGTAAGGTATTCATATTGTAAAAAATTACCTATTATGAGGGTTTACTGTAGCTAGACATGACTGACACAAATAACTCCTGTTACCCGACTATAAGGTAACTAGGACTGTCCTGAACACTTGTCTCGCCTTACACATAACTCCCTCATAGATCCATCAATAGCAAGTCCCATATTCTTAAGTTGTCATATATGTGGTGTCACTAACAAATAAGGTAGATTTTAATTTCTCTAAGGAGCAGGAAATTAATATCAATAATCTGAAGATAAATAAAGGAAACAAAACACGTACTGTATATATAAAAAAGAAAATATAAATAAAGTCTGGTGTCTATTTTGACTAACCATGTAGCAAATGAATCTAAAACAATCGTCCAGCCATGTTTATATACCCACTTATCATCCTTGTACTGATTATACTGAACAAATACAAGGAGGAGTAAAACCCAGTGTGACTCTAGACTTCAATATGAAAATAATTCTGTAAATCTAATTAACTGATACACAAAGACAACTTCACACCTGGGGAAATATTTAACTCTATGAAGATACACATGTCATAGTTCAAGTATACCTGTAGTGGGTCATGAGTATATGATCGTACACTTCGGAACTCTCTCAGTAGCTGCTCCTTCTCCTGAATAAGAACTACGCGGTCACGGTCCCCCTGAAGATCCTCGGGTGATAATCTCTCTTCTAACCCCGCTAAATCATGTTGCAGCCCCTTCAGTGTACTCTTTGCAGAGTCGTACTCTAGTTTGAGTCTCGTGAGCTCTGCCAAACGTGCACCAAGAGGCATGCCCTGAAAGGGGAAAGATTTGTGTGAATTAAGATATGAAGAGATTTCTCACTGGTACTCAATATTTATAAGGTATGGGTGCATACAAATTCATATGATGTAAATCTCGATTGAACCATACCTCACCACCAAAATCTGTCTGTGATGCAGTGCTATGTTTTTCTGATGATTTTTCCAAGTTAGCTTCTATAGTTTGTGTTGTTTCTGCAGAAATAATGTCTTCTCTCAACACCGTCAAGGATTTGATGAGTTCTGCCTTTTCTTTTTCTCCTGCCCGTAAAGACTCTTCAATATTCTTGAGCTCAGCAATGATAACTTGGGCCTCTTCTACAGTGTAACCTGTTGTGAGACCGCTTAACTTTTCTTGAACTCTGCAAAGCGATAAAATACATTTACTTTCTAAAGCAGCTTCCATTTTGCACTTATGCTTTATTAAAAAATAAATAAATATATAAAATAAAGGTCAACAGTGCCAGCAAATTTACTTAGCTTAAGCTGTTATAAATTCATTTGCCGCCTCAACCCTCTATTCCTCTAAGTCATCTATTAATTTTTTTTTTACTGTGTTGGTTTCTTCTTCTGAGAGCCTGAGTCAGAATTAAGTAGTGAATACAACACAGTACACCAAATTTTGAAGCACATGTAATAATAGCTAAATGAACAAGACACCCTACAGTTCTTTTGCTAATATCCAAATTATGGTACAATAGTCTACATACAAAACCTTCACATATCAAAACCTCTGGACATTTCCAATTACCATTTTCAATGAGACACTCTTACACTGTCACTCAAACTTACTTTTAGAGTACACTGCACTGTACTGATAGTTTTTATCAGGTAATTCAAATAAACCTTGCACACCTGGTAGCTAGTTTTTTTTTCACAAGATACATTAAGACACCAATTGGTTACACTTTTTCATAAAACAAAATACAGCCAAACTCACTGTGCTAGTGTTTGCATGCCAGCCTCTGTGTTGGCTACTTCGTGTTTTATCTGATGGAGTTCCCTTTTTAAACGACCCACACGACTTCTGGCCATGGCCACGTCTGTCTTGAGCAAGTCTGGGTCATACCGTCCAGCACCACTTCCACCCGAACTTACTGTTGTAAATAATAATAAACACCAATTAGTACATACAACAGCAAAATACATGATAGCAAATGAAGCAAGAATCTGAGTTTACTCCTCAATCTGGTCACTCTGATTACTAGCAGGAAAGGATTAAAAAATGTGAGTAAGAAATATAAAATTCATAAAGTTCATAAATCACAGAACAATAAACATTATATACTCTCTACTAGATGAAAACTATCTCCTGTTTCATACTGCCACAGCCAGAACATGGGAAGAAAATTAATAATCCTGCAAACAAAAGTGTCTAGACAACTGGTAATCACAATTTCAAAGGAAGATCTATATTTACGGTCCCAACCACCATAATAACACAGGATAAAGAAGAATTAAAAATGTAACAAAAAACATTGCACAAGAGAGGACAACTTACATGAGGATCTTGAGCTGAACAGGTTGGTGAGTGTGGTGTTGAGGTGATGGTACTCATCCTGAGCTAATGCAAGTCGTTGTTCTTTGACTTGCATTATATCTTGCTTGGCACTGAGGTCATTCTGTGCTGAACAGAGATATTCAGACAGCATGGCCTCCTGAACGCTCCGCCATGCTAATCTGGGGTCCTCAATTTGGTTTTGTTCTGTGGGTCATTCAAATGGTTTGTTAACTTTACTTACTGTGAAACAGATAGCAGAACAAAGTACTGTGCTGTATAAAACTTATAGAGAATAAAAAAGTCATAATTTACCTACACAGGTATACTGAACCATTCTTTTCAAGAAATTCACAGAGGAGACTAATGTTACCCCATTCTGGTTTTACCCAAAATCTTCCCTCAGGTACACTCAACCATATGCCCTAGTGTTACTTTTAATTTTCAACATTAAAAAATAACCATAAAATTTGATGGAGAAGTATGATACTGTATTCAGTCAAGTTTTCCCTTTTAGTAATGTACCTTCAATTACATAATGACTGTCTATGGATAAATTTGTAATTTTGAGATACAAAACAAAATATAAAGGAATGTATCTACAGTACTTTGTAAATCAGAAAAAACCTGAAGAACAGTGTTGTACTGCTTTCATAAGATATTTCTTTGCTTAATGTGAAGCATTACAATGTTTTCTTGTGTCTTACAAAATCTTAAAAATAAATTATTGTACAATGATCACTCCATACGTAATACTGTACTACTTCAAGGCATCTTCACTGCTCAGTTCAAACTTAGTGGTGGTATGCACTGCTAGTGGAAATTGCATTACTTTCACACAAGCAAGGTGAAACTTAATAAACTTTCAATTTGTTTGGATTATGAAAGTTGTGCTTTAGTTTAGAAAGGCTACAATCTTAAAGTGACAAAAGTGACTTATTACTGTACCCGGTACCTAATTTATAGGACTTTCTCCAACAATTATTAATGTTTATCATATTTTTATCATACAAATAATTTTCTTCTTTTCAAGACGACTTTGTTGTGTGTGATATATTAAGTGAAACAATTATTTTAAGAATTAAAAAAAAATGTTAGGACTCTTCAGCCAAACTCACAATTAACTTAACTGATTTATAATCCACGGAGTCTGTGAGGGTTAACCCTAAAGATTTGGCTGGGTTTACAGTGCACAGGACCAGGAAAATAGAGAAGGAATAGTTTTACTTACTGTTAATGTGATCAACATAGTATACACCAATCTGGCCTTCGAAGCACTCTTCCCAGCCATAAGGTAGTTCATGACCTACACAGTCGGCAAAGGTCTGAGCTTTGGTGTAGCTGAAAAAAAAAATTTATATCAATTAATAATACTGATCTTTTGTTGAGATTTTGTTCTGCTAATAAAAAGAATAATTTTTTTTTACAAATATTTCTTCTTATGAAGCAAAATTTACTGTTTAATGATTTATTATGTTCTCTTTCAGTAGAAATAATTATGAATTCTGACACTATTCAAAAACGTTTGTTTATTTTACCTTTACAAACAATTATTATACAGTACAAGAAAAACAAATACAGTTGGGTGCAAACGATGACACACACACAGTATTGTACAAGGTAGTACAGTACTTATAAGCAAGGTAAAAGTAAGTAATTACTGTACACACATTGGCATAAGTAGTTTACCTGAAATAAAAATGAATTTCCATATTAATTGGCTTACAAATGAGCCAAATGAAAAGTGAAGAGGGAAAAATTCAAGTGCAATACTGGTACAGTACCCGGTACCCTACTTAGCTACTAGGAATATTTGAGTGCAACATGTAACCAACAGTAAGTATAGCTAATTACACTACAGTAAAGTGTGTATGTCATTTTCCAAGCTTTCTGGCATTGTACTTTATAAAATATTACAGGTATTTTAAGGTAGCTAATGGTTTACTTCCCATGTGTAACAGAGCAAGGTGTCGAAACAGAAGCTCCAAACTAAATATCAAAACAAGTTCAGTAGTGTTGTGGTGTACTAAAGTGAGAAATACCCCTTGTGCACACAACAAAACTTGTGGCCCCGCATGTCGTACTACACACCGGCCCCCAGCAGACACTTGGTGCAACATTCCTCACTTGTGCCAAGAATGTCTCCCTTGGTATTTAAGTCAACTAAAATAAGGAAGCCATGGGGAGGAATGTGGATGTGGACAGCCAAAAATGTACACAGGGAAACAGTCTGGGTTAATTTTGCTGTTAGGTTATCCAAGATTAAAGCACACATTTATTTTTGTCCAATGCTTGATCTGCATCTTGGATGCCACTGATTTATGGAGATAGCTACTGCACATTTAGACAAAAACAAAGATTTGGGAACTTTTGCACTAACACTACATTATGAAGGGCATACTGTTCTGTACTAAAGTGCACCAATGTACATGACTAAATTTATCCAAGTACAGTATTGTATGAGTAATTATTGCCCTTAATTTCTAATATTACCCATTCTGCAATAACCACAAAAAGTTATGTACAGTATTCCCAAAAATTTAACTGATGAACAGGGGCCATTTCTGATACAGTAAATAAAGGTTGTCAAACATCATAAAGGTAGTACTGTATCGTTTCAATCAGAGAAGTCTCTCAAATTATTGAATGAAAATGTCATTTCAAATGGATGGATGGAGAGGGGTAACAACATATGGACACCCCATATTCTACGGCAGGGACATAAAAGTAATAATATAACACCAATAATCACAGCTTGGCAGAAGTCTGTAATGTGATCTAATTTAACCTTGTAATATCACAGTGAATTTTAAATTACTCTACCAAACATAAAATGGCGATTCTTTTTTCTTCTTTTTTTAAACAGCCATACACACACACAAATTCCAGTTCATATTAATTGTATGAAATTTACATTTTGAAAAAGGTGTTGTTATGGAACACAAGAAGTGTTTTGGTGCAAATAAGAATATGTTGACACATTTAATGGGACTATATCCTGGGTCAGCTAGTGTGAGGTGGATCAGAATACAGTACAGTATGTATTCATATAGCTATGCTTAAATTGCTGAATAAGCAAAAAAATAGTTGTTTTATTGTCAACATAGACCTACTACTGTCCAGGAATATGATGCTGGTAGATTAAAATTTTCTAAGACTAATCTTTCAAGTACTGTAACATTTCATGCTCTTAAAAAAAAATAATAAAATAAATGTTGATGATGAGTTATTTTTTAGCAATTTATGATTACAGCCACACCCATTTCTACTTAGTTCATAAAATACATTCACCTATCAATACAGTACTAATCCCACAATCACACTTCCCATGTCAACGTGAATACAGTAGTCATTAATTTATCAACAATGTATGGTTTTATATACTTAACTCAATGCTGTTCCTTAAAATAGCCCAGCCTTAATTTACTGCATGTAATGAAACATAATACTGTACAATATACTGTACTGCAAATTACAAACTCCAGTAACCCTGTTTTGTAGTACAGTACTGTACAGGTATTACTGATCACTGCATACACAGTCTAATTTTTGGTAGGAGTAAAGTTTCACTCCATTGCATCTTATTCTATGATAGAACCTATACTGTTATGTTTATTCTAAGAAAAGAATGCAAATCCAGATGGGATTACTGCACAAAAGAAAATTTATGATCTTCTAAATCTCAAAATGAAGTGCCATAGTTTTCAGCTTTAAGCATTAATGTTTCAATATGATCCATGAAATCGGGTTCTTTGTATGTTCCGGACTATTTTCATTTACATTAGGATTGTAAGTGGGGGTCACCTAGAGATCATAACAATTTAACAAAGGCAGCACTAATACTGTACGTGTAATGCATATCACCATCACTGTGTAATATTTAACAAATACAAAGTGAAAGAATATAACTAAAAAGACTTATTTTATTTATCAACTGATTTTTTTCGGCTAAATGGTTTCTGGACAATTCAACACGTGCAGACACTTAACCACTTGATAAAATTAAACTGTAAACCTAACTTCATTAATCTAACAAAGCCAAACTGACCTAACATGCCGGCCGATATCTAAACAGCCAGTTAGTGAGATCACGTCACCCTTACGTTATTTTAATCATCTTAGACTAGTAAGTAGATATGTGGGAATTTGCATCCCTGTGTATATGTATGTATGTATATCATGTATGGTGCGCACGCATGCACACAAAATTTACATGACACAATTGATTGTTTTGCCAAATTGGAATAACATTCAGTTTACATTGGTAAATCTAAAGAGAAATTAGTTCATATATGGCAAAAAATTTGTTGTTTCGTTTCAAATACCATTTCCTATCATATCATACCATAACTAAACTCCACCTAAATTTGATTTGGTTAGCAATGATGCCATAATTCTTTATCTATGCAATATTATGATTATCTAATGTTTATCTTTGAAGAAGTAAATTGATAATATATATATATATATATACAGTGTGTGTATATATATATATATATGTATATATATATATATATATATATATATATATATATATATATATATATATATATATATATATATATATATATATATATATATATATATATATATATATATATATATATATATATATATATATATATATATATATATATATATATATATATATATATATATATATATATATATATATATATATATATATATATATATATATATATATATATATATATATATATATATATATATATAGTGTAAAACAATTCCTGCAATATCCCCACTTAACATGACATTCTCACACACACACACAGTAAGTTGACAATTTTATCAGTAAAAAAAAATCTTCAATGTGTTTGGATTCCCAAATACTGTACAGTTTATACTTTATTCTGTTGGGTCAAAATCAGATGAAATTAAATTTATGAAAAATGGTTACCCAACAGAAACAACATTAAGTTAAATTAGCAAGTCCAAGGTTATGAACAGGAAAACAAATTACCAATACAGTATTATACTGTACATGATGAGCAAATTTTGCTAAAACAAACCACTGAGCACTGTCTAAAAAGTTTGTGGGAAATTATCAATGACTAGTTATGGTTTGTTTTCATTCGCTGAACTAAACATGCACTTGCCGCTCACTGTGCTTGAAATATTACAGTTTAACAGTGATGTAGAATTACAACTTCTAATACAACTCCAAACAACTTTTCCTTTAATAAGTTTTCTGTCAAATTTGTAATAAGCTGTTGAGTGAGTGTGTGCACACATGGTTATCCTTAATGCTGTATAAAAATAAAATAAATTCAAAACCCCCTTTTAGCTTTTGTAACTAAACTTGAGGACATAAATAAGAATAAACTACAACTAGTTGCTGGGTTGTGATTGTAAAATCACTCAAATTTGTTTTAAATATTTAACTCAAAAACATGTGACTCAAGACTATTTGTATGTACCTGTCTGTAATTATGCATGCATGTGTATCTGCATGCATGTGGAGGTCACTGTGTGCATGCAAATGCTTGTGCAAATGTTTATAAAATATTAGTGCTAACACAAATATTCATGAGAATAATGCTTATTCATATACACACTGCATGTTTAAGTTGCAAGTGCATCATTTATACACACACCAATGAAATGTATGAAAGACTAAAGGCCTAAATTCATCTCCTTGAGGGTACAGTAGTCATTCATGAAGTACCTGCATCTGTTCAACAAGTCAGGGGAGGGGGGGGGGATATTTAGCCTGAGGGGCTACAAAAATGTATGTATGAATGAAAGACATGAATGCATGTATGAAAGGACAGAGACAAGACCACACAAAAGAGATTGAGAACTAATTCAAGATGCAACAGCTTGGAAGAATGAGAGAATATACAAAGACATGGCAGAAAAAAGAAGAATAAGAGGAAGGGTGTAAAAATGACGGAGGTAGAGGGAGAGAGGGAGAAAGAGAGGGAGAGAGAGGGATGGGTGGGAGGGAGGGTCGTTGGAGTACTCCGCACCACACTCTTACATACCTAACATTCCTCAACCAACAACCAGGGTCGCACATTCCAAAGGCGTATGGACCTATTTCCTCAAAGCCATCTAACTTTTTATCTGTTTTACGTAGATATATCTCTAAAACACACTGTCGTACCATTATACACACCAAGAGTGCTGATATAAAATAAATACAGGAGTAAAAGACTGCCTGGTCCCACACATACGGACACGGGCTCTCCGAACGATAAAGGAGGCCACATTAAACTTATATTATGCAAGCTGGATTTCAACCTTAACCAACTTGATATTCCACTTTATGATCACTGTATGTATTCTTCGTTTCACAGAGAACACCAATAAGCACCATAACACCTTGATATTATCACAAAAGCACAAATTTGAGGGACTCAACATAGGCGCTAAGTCGGCCTACCTGTCTCTTGGGTCAATCCATGTGGTTTTCTTGTTGTTGTGATCGATAAAATATATCTTTCCGTCATAATCATGCCCAATTTCCCATCCAGAAGGTAATGGTAACTCTCCATTTCGTCTTCTAGGCATGTTTTAAGTGAAAAACACAGATAAATTCTCATCACTACCGTCCACTGTCCTCCATATTGAGACTTCTAATGACGTAGAGCCTTCTTAACCAATCATGATGGAGTAACCCCAAGGAGCCAATCCGCGCGCTGCATACCACAAACTTATGATGTTGTGATGACGTAAGGATGACGGCATGGAGTCTCCACCAATCATAAGCGAGACACCCCTGGGAACCAATCAAATCCCTGCATTCCAGAGGTGGAATCAACGAAAATGTTCTCTATGACATATTGCTAAAAGGGTTAGATTTGGATATATACATATCTGTGTTTATTTGACGGGATATTTGACTCTAGCTACGCACGTTTCACTACGCGCGTAGAGCGTGTCCTTGATGACATGTTCCTCAAAACCTGTGTTAAACAGTTAAAAGAGCTTACCTTACTTCCTTGATGATCATCAACCAAAATATAAACTATATGTGCAAATATGCGGTTATTATGAGTCAAGGGTAATCCAATCTTTAGATTCCGTGATATCAGTAAAAGATTGTAAACACCTAAGCCTCTGGAATGCTGATTAGAGTGGCACGAGCAGTAGAGGTCACCCGAACCGCCAGCGAGCGAGTCTCGCCGTTATGTCTTTCAATAATAAGGCCTATTTATTATGTCAAGGTACTAAAAATTAACTGCGGGATGTTAAAATACATCATTAATATAAGTAGGATTAAACTTACCTTCACCAATACAAACTAGAAACAAGCAATTTTTTGTCTAAATAATGAATGCTCCCATGTCTAGGCGTGGTAAAGGTAGGCAAATCAGGTAAATATTTTTGTCTCTAACTAACGTTGTGTGCTGTCAAAGTTGGCCTACTTAATATCAATAAAATTTTGGTGAGTTATATGACTTACACATTCTCTCAGACGTCAGTACATAATGCTCTCTCTCCCTCTGGTTATCCGCTGTCTGCCATTCATAAGAACATAAGAAAATAAGGAGTCTGCAATAAGCCGGTTGGCCTGTGCATGGCAGCTCCTGTCGAGAGTTACTACCACTCTCTATCATCCATGAATCTATCCAGCCTGTTTACTCTGTAGTTGTCAACACGCCTTTTCTCTTCTAAGTCTGTATGTAGTTCATGGCTGTTTCTTCCTCTTCGAACTATATGTTCTCTCTTCCTTATATTCAAGACCTTCATCCGTGACCTTGACCTCAGATCTACTTTCTTCAGAATCTAATACTTTCCCTCGCTGAGAGTATACGTGTGTGTGTGTTTATTGTATGTTTTCCTCAATCTCCCGTCTCTTATTTATTTTAAGTCACTTTGTTTTTGTTCCCAATTAATATCAACATTCTTCTCCTTCACATTCTTGCAAAGTCAATCATTACCGTTTGCAAAGTATTATCTGAATCATTCGACAGAGAAAAGTTCCCGCAGGCAGCATATCTTCTACTCCAGCTCCCACTTACACTCCTTATCCCTATCAATCAAACTTTCACTTCATCATTCTTACATCCTCCGCTCATATTACCCCATCCATGAATATATAGAATAACCATGGTGACGTTACTCTTCTTGTATGTTCCCCTACTTGTACTGAGAACCATTACTGTGTAGTGGATTCCTTGAACCTATATCACGTACCCCACAACTGCACAGCTCCTCTCGTGATAAACTTTGAACAGCATGTAAAAGTTTCCATGCAACTTCACCATCATCTCAATACTACTACTACTACTACTACTACTACTACTACTACTACTACTACTACTAATAATAATAATAATAATAATAATAATAATAATAATAATAATAATAATGTGTTTTAAACTAATTTGGGATTTTTTCCCACGCGTAGCAAACCTTTGGAATAGGATAAAAGTTTTTGTTACTGTTGTTTCGGCAGTAATGGCGGCAAATTGTGTGCGAGGTAGAACGAACTGCAATCGTGGATGCAAATTTAGCCATCTTGGAGACATATTTGATGGACTCAAGGAGCCAATTTTGTGTTCTTACGGGGCCAATATTGTAATCTGGACGGTGAATTTGGCAGAGTGGATGGTATAGTGACTGGCGGCGGCGAGCTGGCGCGACCTGAGGGAGCTTGGGAGTCTAGTGGAGGATGTACACCAAGTGTGGAATTTGGTAAGTGTAAAGTTGGAGAGATAGACAGGCAGACAGACAAGCCAACAGACAGATAGACAAAAAACAAATGGCTGTTTTCTCCCTGATCAGAAAATATATAGTAAATCAATGCTAGTATAGTATGCAATATTACAATAAGAACAACTGAATGAACACTTTACAATATGATACTTCGTCTATGGGTTATCGTGTAATTCTGAAATCTAATTCGATGGGAATATATATTATAATTTCGATAAAGATGTGAGAAAATGTACATTATATGGGATTATCTTAGAGAGGTATATGAGAGAGCTTGAACCAGGATGGAGAGTTAATGAAAGTGGCGTCTCCTGTAGCACTGCAGTTGAGGGCGGACCAGTGAGATATATTTTTTTTATTTATTCATTTATTCTTACTGTATCTATTGAATTTAGATGAATTAAGTAAATGAAAAATTCCTGGGATTAATTAATTTTCGCAGACGTTAGATTGTTTTTTAAGTTAAAATGCAATACGTTTGTAAAATGGTTTGTCTTGACTCATTCATCGGGGAGTTGTGCCAGTGGTTTGTGGTACAGAACAAGTATTTTGAGAATTAATAATCCAACAGATAAGACAACCGCAAAAGATAGTGTAAGAGAGTTTAGGGTTCACGAGGTATACGGGGTTCCGCATGCTTGAGTAAATTCCATGCGTTCTGCTTATTCATCCATATTACTAAAAGCCTATCTTTCTTGGTTACCGCCTTCCTCTACATATCATTAGTTCTTTAGAAACACTGATATTTTTTTTTACACTTTCGATCATAAATGCTCTTCTGAAATTTATTTAATTGGACGAGCTTTTAAATAAGCGAGGAAAGTCATAGTGAACTGTTTTCTAATGAGTGAATAGAAGAAATTATCGGCAATAGATAAAGACTGCTACTATAACGTACGGTTTACAAGATATTTAGGTTAAGTTAGCTTAGGTCAGGTTAGGTTACGTAGGGCTAGGTTAGGTTAAGTTAGACTAAATTCATCTTTGTAGGCCGCACGCTATACAGTAGTTGCACCAGATAAGACCTGTTGTTATGTGCACCCATATCTTTTTCTGCTGGTATCGTTTTCATCTCAAAACAGAACCTGCAGGGCAAAACAATACAGTAATCCCTTTCTTATAATTATGTTGACTAACAAGCAGTTATGACAAACCATCGTGGTAATAATGGAGCAGACGGCTAACACCAGAAGTTGTTCGATTTAATTTTTTCCACATGTTCTTCAGATGAAAGTAATAACAGCAATACAGATTTTTATTTTAATAGTAAGTATTATGGGTTTTGATTCATTTCCAATACCTTTCGAGTAGCATTAGATTCTAAGTGAACTGTATGTTCGTATTCTTGTTTTTCAATGGCGTCCTTATCACGTCCATAAAAAACGTAAAATTATACCGTACGGCTTCAAGCCAGTTGCCTCCATTGATACCAGATATCAAAGTAAGTTCTTTCTGTCTAATATGCCATCCCCCGGCTAGGAAGTTAAGTAAGGTTAGGTAGGTTAGGTTAGGTCAGGTTCTATGCATTGTCGTAACGTTTTTATTACTTATTATCTTCCAAAGAACCTACTGTGGAAAAATAAACGAAATCGAGTTCTACCTTTACCTCCACCGTTATCTAGTGTGATTTACGTGACTCGGTGTTGTCACTCATGCAAGACTCGAGCTCGAAAAATTATAATGATTTAAGACCTAACATCAGCGCGGTATACATTTTCCAGTTGTCTTTAACAGTTGGGCAGTTCAGTGCTACGCACTGTTAGTAAGTACAGTTTGGTTGTATCTATTATATTGGGGTCCTCTCGGGATGCTACAACTAGCAAGAACATGAAAACTAGAGGTTAGCCTCAAGTACAGTAAACTGTTACAACTAACGTTTGGGGTACGAGATGTGAACTCTTGGAATGGCCTGCCAGAGAAAGTTGTGACAGCACCAAGTGTGAGCTTCTTTAATGAATACTTCACAAACACTGGCAGTCTGGCACATGTTCAGGTACACATGCAAGAGTCCATGCATGCCAACACTTGCCAACATTACGTAACGAGAACTAACCGACCGGTTACTGCTACTGCTATTATAGTGATGTTTGTGAGCGACAAGAGGCGAAGAAGACAAATAAGTAGTGCTTTCGAATCAATTTATAACCTCCACTTTGGGATAGATAAATAATACAACAATCAACAGGACAGATAATAATAGGAAGAGTGTTATAAAGAAAAAACAAGAACATTATGATTAGAAGTTTTATTTTTCTAGTACAGTACATGATTTTCTACATGGGTGAAGTTGAGACAAAGAGCGCAGCTGCATTATACTGTACTCTCAAAATTGATATCCCCCTTGGCAAGATTATACATGTTAATTTAAATCTATTAGAAAGAAGAAAATATGGTTTCATTAATGCGCCTTCATTCACCTTACACAATTATTGTTCATCTTAGGTAAGTGGTACAGTTCTGCAGACAAGTGATAGTATCTAGAGATGTTCTGCAGACAAGTGATAGTATCTGGAAATGCTCTGCAGACAAGTGATAGTATCTGGAGATGTTCTGCAGACAAGTGATAGTATCTGGAAATGTTCTTCAGACAAGTGACAAATTCTCAGGTTGTTCTGGTTAGCTGAACTTTGATATAGTTATTCTTTTAAGGAAATTTGTAGGATAGTTTTACTTGGTGAGGCTTTGCAGATCTCAGAATTTCTTTTGTTTTAGCGAAAATTTTGCTTTATTCGTCTTGTTGAAACTAATTTGAACTGTTAAGTTTACGAAACTTTCTTTGGGGGTTCATAGTCGTGGTTGAACATTTTCGTCTCCTTGTTGCTTCATTTTGGTCGTTCCTTGAGAGTTTTCATTATCGTTCACGCTGTAGAAAGTTTTTGTGCATTTCTGATGGAATAATTCTTCGTCGCCATGGTTTCTCCGGTCTTTAGCAAGCCAAGGGGTGAAAGTGTCTTCAGTTGTGCGCCAACGCAGTCTCCAGCAATCTTAGTCGTTCGTCAGAGGTGTGTGTGTGTGTGTATATGTGAGTGTAATACGCTCGTGTATACGGGAGCAGCCTTAGCACTGGGGGTCTTGGACGATTTCGTTGATCCAGTTGTGGTACTTTGAGACACGAGTGTAAATTCCTGGGTACTCCTGGGCACACCCCGCTCCGAAGCTCACCACGCCCACCGCAACCCACTGTCCCAATCCTACCTCAACCAGCAGGGGGCCGCCGCTGTCCCCCTACACACGGGGCACACCACATAATAATAATAATTAATAATAATAACAAAGAGTAAATTTCGGAGACACCGGTATAAGGGAAGATTTTATGGGTAAAGCTATAATATCCCCAAACTGTTTGCTATTGAGATAATTTAGATGTTCAGTATATGCAATCATAAGGCAAAATATTCACTTTACTTTAACCTCTTCACCACTGATTAGCCTCTATCCCAATGAACATGCCAATAATATGAACGTGTCTAATAACTGCTGCCAAATAAGACTGATAAACGTATATAGATAAGAATATGAGTGGAAATATCAGTCATTATAAAGACGAGACTGTTAGCTAGTTAGAATTACTATGGTATACGGTACAATGAAAGAAAACGAATTGGTTTAGGAGGAATAACTATGATAAATTACTGGAGTTGACCGGCATCTTTAAATCCTTCTGACTCTGGATGCGTATGTGTGAGAAGGGAAATCTAGAGGTCCGATTTGCAGTAAGACAGACATTTAAGAATATCTAGAAATTTCATAAAGTATCTGTTAAAGTCTGTTTTATCTCAGAGGATATATTTTCATCTGTTAGTTCTGTTTGTCAAACTGCTCATATATTACTTTTTTTCTGCATTGCATAGAAGAATTATATGCTTGTTGCATAAGATTGCCAGTCCGTGTAAACTAGGGAGGAGATGCAGGACTCTCGATTTTTTACACTTCCCAGATTCTTCGACCTTCGTTATCCTTTCCCGTCCCCACCAAGACTCAGCACCCCCTTCTCCTCTCAGTCACCAAGATCCACCGTACACCTAATGGCCCCCCTATCCCCAATCACCGACCAGGCACTAGGGAAACTCACCACACAGGAGTCTTTGCCACTGGCAAACGAGCACATCATGTTGTCATTAATTTCGATGGTGCCATTGTATGATTCCTTACATATCATCGGATCCACTACCTCTAGGTCGACCTTCATCAGTGTTTTCGGGAACTCATCTCCCTCTGTGGAGGGCACATATATTTTTAATTGTCGTGTGAAGATCATATAAACTTACTGATGGGTGAAGGAGAGATTGTATTACGTGAGTGTTATCAACAGGTGTGAACTTATCATTAATTAATATTTTCTTACTGTGTAGATAAAGATGATGAAGCGGGTTAAGATTATTTTGAAAACTACCTCTACGATTCTTAGGTCTTTGGTATACTTGTAAGTTGAGAGGCAGACATAAACAGTGAACAAATACCATGAAATAAACGTTATCCTAGATGAAGAGACTCAGAGACGAGCTTACCGTTTGTTAACTTGCCCCAGCCTGCCACCACCACCTTGTCGCCGACCTGCACATCCCCATCGAGTCCCAGGCAGGCCGGGCTTACTTTAAGCGTGAAGTTCGCTGGCGACGAGAGCTTGACCAGTGCAATGTCGTTCAACTTCTGCAACATCAAGGTACCACCGAGTCTAATTTAATTGGTTTAAAACTTAAGTATTATGGGGAGGTGTGACTAGTGATCAGTGTTCTATTTAACTTTTATAACATATCTTTATGACATGAATGAGAATAACATATGTTGGTGGTATAGTATTTACAACATGGCAGATTATCACTTGTCTTAATAGTGGTATACACAAGAAAAGCGTAACGTAAGCAGAGTGACTGTTAGTGGTTTAGACACAACATTAGGGTGAAGTTAGTAGTGTGTTAGTGGTAATTCACACAACATAAGGGTGAAGTAATCAGTGGGGTCGTGGTAACATACACAACATAAGGGTGAAGTAATCAGTGGGGTCGTGGTACAGTACTCACTTTGTAGTCGTCATAAGCATCATGGACACTAACAAGAGAGGCCACTACAGCGGTCGAGGTGTCATTGGTGTCCGGGAACTCGTGGGCCCCAAGGTAAACAAACACACCCTCCAGTTCCCTGCCGACCATTGTCACGCTCAGGTTACCGTTGTTTATGGTACTGTACTACTGCTATTACTTATGATACTAGTGTACTACCAGCTGAGTCCTACCTGATTGGGGATAATTAGCAGACATATAGTTATCCCATGTTAAGTATTGACCCATAAATATTGATATGACCAGTAATAACGTTATGTGGGTTATGAGTATATTATTCATATGTACTACCAGCTGAGTTCTAGTTAAAGTGCCATGTTGTTCATTCCGAAATAACATGATGTGCTAAATAATATCTTAATTTGGGATATTGTCAAGTGTGTCATATAACCATCTGCATTGACAATGAAATAATATAATGATTGTTTAATGTTGTAACCAAGAATTTGAAGATCTATTTTGCTATTTGTAAAGTAAGACCTAGGTGGTCCAGTCTTGTCTGAGTGTACTTAATTAACATCTTGTTTACTCCTTACGTTAATCAATGTTGAATTAGTAAACTACGAGTATCACCGCTCTATCCCTCTTAACATTTCGTCCTCAGAAAATAACTATTGTAACTCACGTGCCTAGAAGCTCGCTAGCATACTACCTAACAGTTTAGTGAGATATTTTATATTCTAATAAAAGTCTGGGTGGTGGCAGGCTGCCGTTGTAAGTATAATAAGTGTTATAGTTAGAATGACATGGTTTTCCCAGACTAATTTATGGTATAGAATATAACTAAAGCATGATAATAAATTGAGAGAAAGACAGGATATAAAATTCAGAAAATACAATAATATATATGACAAGGAATAAAGTATAGAAAAGAATACTGACTTAGAAAATATAAGCAGTGAAATACAAGATAGATACTTAGAGACAGAAGACTAAGAAAATAATATTAATAGAAAATATAGATATGAAGCAAGTATATAAGTATTGAAGAATAAATAGAATAAATATGAAATAAAAAACGAGCCCATTAACACTTGTACTACTGCTACTACTTATTCGTACGGCTATTACTGATGATGTTCATATTTATAGTACTATTAAAGTTCCTTGCATTGCTATTTGTAGGTGCAGCAGATTCTGCCAGTACTATCACTACTTTACTACTGCGACTACTATTACCACTACTATTGCTACACTTGCTACCACTAACAACTACTATCACGTTAAGAGTCATTAAGTACCTTAGATATTTAAATTGTATGTTTCTCTTGTAAATACTTTTAATATATTATGAGACACATTTTTCTATTCTAAAATAAGAGGTCATAAAAGATGCATCTGTCGGGAATTCATCCATGTCCGATAACATTTAGGAGTCCCGACAGCATCCACGACCCGCACACGCTTCCATTGTTATTGATTGTAAGCGACCTCCGGGTCCCGCATTATTGTGACTTAAAATACGGTGTCATTCACCTCCAGGGCGTCTTTGTTGCTTTCTGTCTAATAATACATACAGTGTAATGAATGACTTATTTGAGTTTATCTTACCTTATGATAGTCCTCTTGATTACTCTTACTCAGGAGCGACATTAATTTTATTCAATAATGATATCTCTTTTGACAGCATTCTTACATAACAGGATACTTCTTTATGTTGCCAGTCTTGCCCAAAACGATGTCTAAATGACACCATTCTTACCCACAATCCCTTCTTTTACATGTCATTCATACTCAACTGGACGTGTATTTACCCGCTCTTTTTACGCCTCTAGTTTAACAGGACACACACTCCGTCCTTCTTTCTGTTGAGGGCGGCTTCCTTACCCTGAGACACAGTGGGCGGCGGTGAGGACGAAGTCTCTGGTGATGAGGGCGCCGCCGCAGTTAAAGGAGTCCAACGTTGTTTTCATGTGAAGGAACACCAACCATGGATACTCGTTGCGGTTAGCCTCTGACCCTCCCACGATCCTCTGCACAGACATCTGCAAACGCCCACACTCCTCTGTCGTGATGGGCGTGCAGCGAGGTCATTTGAGCACGGAAAAAATACTACATTATCAGATCACACAAAATGGCTTGCCACTCGACAAACTTTTACCAATAATAGAAACAAAATCGTTCTGGACAATACCTCTCAGGAGAAATCCCACCTGACAATTTCCCATAGGACAAAATCCCACCACTCAAACTCTATGATGGACAAAATTCCATTGTTCGGTTAGTTTAGGTTAGGTCAGGTGGAGTGGCACTCTGATCTACAGGTGAGGTGGAGAAAAACGGGTATACTTAAGTAATAATAATTATGGTTGCCTCTCCTGTCCTGCGTTGGCCGGCACGAGAGCCAATTAGGCGTGAATTTGTTTAACGCATAAGAGCTCTTGCCAACGCAGCAACTCCCCAAGTTAACGTGTTGTTTAACCCACCAGCGTCAAGGAATAATTCAAGAAGACCGGACAACTCGCTAACTGCACTGGCTAACCATTATCCCAGAATACGATCCGCAAGCCAATTGAAACCACAGGTCGTCCTACTACACACACACACACGCGCGCACGCACACATGTATAATAACAGCTAAGCGGACACACATACACCTACCACAGATCGGGCGTGAAGTGATGGCTGGTAAACTGCTTCCATCGGTAACATCAGTAGAAGTACTGAAGGTTGGCTCCTCCGAAGTCTCGCCATCTTTACAGTGTCCTGAAATACACACATAAAGATGTTAACGTCAATGTGGACAGACGATATTGGATCATCAATTTGAACGTGGACTGGTGTTAGACGGGCAGTTCTAGGGTGCTAGATGCTGGCTGTGCCGAGACAAACTGCGGTGGGGAACAGCTCAATCACACACACACACAAGTGACTGAAGATACATAGAAAGAGAGCTGAAAACCCCGTGCTGGTGCAGTGTGTGTTTGGTGAAGGTCCACCAGCGAATAATACTTCTGAACCTTCCTTAAGCTTTATATACTGTAACCTTGCTGCACTGGCTGGTTCATGGGGGTAGTAGGATGGTACCCGGCCTCAGCTCCCTCCTCTCCTACTTTACTTAAACGCATTGATGTTCACTCTCTCACTAAATAAAAAAAAAATATCGAAGTATTAAAATGATTCACATTCTGCTCGAAAGGCGCCTTATTGAATGATCGGAGGTTATAGGCTTTGAAAATGTTGTGGAGGTCCACGAGTGTGATGTGTTTGTCTCCTTCCCTCACTCACAGGAACTACCCTAGATCCTTCAATGTTTACTGTCGTTTGTGTCGTTGCTAATGTGGTGATCTTGTCGCTGTTAATGTTACTATTCTTGCTAATGGAAACGCAAATGTGTAAATTTAAATTGTCATACCTTTTTAATTGTGGTAAAAATTGTAAATAACCTATAAAATTTTACATCATTGACCCATATATATCAATTATTTGTCTACTTTACCGAGGAAAAATGCATTAGTAACAGGACGTTCTGGACACCCCATGGGACTCACAAAGAAACAAGACATTAGCATGGCTGGCACCTAAACCACCTAAACGATGCCTCTGCTGCTGTCAGTGTCGTCATATATAATGCTCATTGTTCTCGCTGGTATACTGTATAATTAAGCTTCACCGCCACTTAGCACATGCCTGCCGCCTTAGCCCGCCTACACCTGTTACGATAAACAGCAGGTGTGATAAAATGGATGTTTACCTTATCATGTTCATGCGAAGAACTTGCCTAATCCCAAGCCTTTTTATATATATAATTGGAACCTTGATATAACTTCTTAACGAAATTAACAAAACTTCCTATAATCTTAAAAAAATATAAAATATCAATAATTTATTGTTCGCATAAGTTTTCTTAACATGAGGCTTTTAAATATATATAAAAAAGGTGTATTCTTAAAATTTTTTGTTTCTCAGCAGACTGTTGGCATGGCTGTAAGGATTCTAGAGTGACATAACTAATTACTAAAAGCAGTTGTCTCTTCAATGTCCGGAACTTAACACCAGACTCATGCACTGGAAATGTATTTGTCATTACACCTATACACGTCGGTCATAAAGTAGCATCTGTGTCACTCGCCTTATATGTCAATTAGTGCTGGTGTCATGTGAAATTTTGCTTGAGTAGGGCAGCTGCTACGGCACGCTCACCAAGATCTATTTATTCAGTCAGAAGCTTTATTTTGAGTGGTGTAACAACTTGTCTATTCTGATGTAATCTATAACAATTGCATAAAAAAATAAATAGTATGTCTTACAGAGATGTGCACTGTAAATTTGTTTATATAAGCCGCTCAGGAAGGTCACAGGTGTGTCAAATACTTGTGGATTCTTATTATAATTAGCTATGTGCCAAATTTGGTTCGAATGCATTCCAGTTGTCCTGCTTGTTATGTACCGTAGGTGACACACGCTGACGAACCCCGTGAATTCATCTAGGTGAGGGACAGGAGAATGAATAAAATCAATAATTATGTTGCAGGAAGCATGTAATAATAGCCACAAAAGATGCAAATACATGTAAATATTAGGAAAACTCACTGAATTATATAGTTCTTATGTACAGTTTAAGATAGTGACTCGCATACTGTACTCTGACAGAATCATTGTCATAGTTGCTCTTCATAACTTACTACCTTTAAATAAGGACAATTTAAGAAATGCACATACATATCTTAGCAAAGCAGATAAGTCTATTATAGCCGTTAGATGTCTCGAAATTAAAATAGAGAAATGAGAGGCGAAAGGTGACGTAGAGTTGAGGTTTGTATTTGGCGGGTGTGATGGCGAGTTGTGTAGGTGGCGTGGCGGCGTCAACACTGTCGCCCGTGTGTAATGATGATGCTCAACATGGGGCTACTAAGGTCTGCTCTCGTCATCTCTTTCTTTTCTACTATATACACCAGAGAATGGAACACCCACGAATATATGATAAGAGAACATTCGTTGGTGAAACCCTATCAAGGTAAGGCTTCAGCTAGGCTCTTCTCGGTCATGAAAACTAAGGAAAATAATATGACTCCAGAACATTTGGGAGCTTTGGGGTACTGGCTGGATGTGCTAGTTACTAGGTGTGTTGTGGGGCCTTCCTGAGTGTGTAAGGATGAATTGTGCAGTTTGGTTGATGCTTTTGGGAAGGAAGAACAGTAGAAAGTGCTTAATTTGTGGTGGATATGGTGAACCACTATTGCTAAGGCCATGGCCAGAGGGAAATTTACTATTAACTCTCCTTCCCTCACCTCATCACCTCCCACCCTACACACTTTCCTGTCGAAATATTCCATTCAGTTAACCTTGTTTTAAGCTTTCCTCAAACTGTATTTCAAAGTCTACAATTATGTTTAACCCTTTCACTGCTGATGTCACAATAGTTTGTTGCCTGCATTACTTTTCTGCATTACATCAATTTTTTTTAAGTTTTGGCAAAAATTGTATGGACAAGCATAGCTGACCTTAACCAACCCTAACTCAATTTAGAACAAGATTTATTGGGTTGAGTTGGTTGCTTAGTTTTGTTTGGTTTAAAAGAAGTTCATTATACTGCATGATGTAAAAGGACTGTGATATTGTCCTGAACAAATACCTCTTAGACTATCATCAGAAATCTCATACATTGTACAAATAGAAGAAATGTTCTACTGTATTCATTCAGTTCTATCAAGTAATTACCTTAAACTTTCAATTTTCAAAGGTGATTGGTGCCACTTTACCTTTGGAAATTTACTTCAGAAGAAAAGTTGCTGTACCATCATGATTTGCACAGATGTCTGGGAGGGCAAAACAAAAATATTTATATTTCATGATTGAATTAATGGCCACAGGCTACTGCAGTGTTGATAAATTAAACATTTAACCAAAACGTGATGCTGAAAACAATAAGTAAGATGTGTAACCACTTACCATATAGTAATGGACTTTAGTAGTGGGAATAGTGGTAAAATTTAATGAAAAGGATGAATTCATAATAAATCAGTAAACACTTATTATAATAAGAGTACATACTGGATGTGCTGTGCATTTATGTAATGTCTACATCTAACAAATTCTGGAGAGCAGACTGATGCATGACAAACTCAGCCAATTTAAAGTTTATTTGAAACTACAGAATGTCTGAATTAACAAGAAGAAAGTACTTTTTCCTAAGATCAGACATAATCCAGTGATGATTATTTAAAGTCAGCAGTGTGCTGCAAGGTACTCATAGTTATCTCTCTGCTCGTCAGTCCTCAGTCAGCATAGATGCATAGGGCATCCAGTGCTATACTGTAATGATTCTTACTGATTTACAATGAATTTACCTATTTTAAGCTATTTTACCACATTACTATATTAAAGTCCAACTTCAAATTCTGATGCAGTAGTTGCCGTGGCCATTAACTTTATCGTGAAATTTAAATGTTTTTTTTTATCCTCCCCCAGGTTTTTTGTGCAGCTCTTGGTGTTTTCAACGACCTTTCTTCTATAAGGTAAGGGAATATTCTAAGAGATGAATTTATGCCAGTCATCTCCATAACATGTATTAAAAAAGTTTATCATGATTACCAGAAAATTCTGTCAGTGACTGCCTGCAATTTTGGAGTCTGCTAAATTAAAGCCAACTCTTACAGATTTAGTTATTTTTTATATTAGCTGAAATGGACAGTTAAGCAGTATAAAACTTTGTTCATAACTCGAGCACAAGCTGAATTGTGGGACTGAATTCTGAAGAATTAACTTCTCGGAGGGATCCACAATAGCACCAGAACTATTGTGCTGTATTAGTTTTCCTGACCTATTAATAGATGGGATTACCTCTCAGTTTGGAGGTTATAGCTTCCCTATCCTCAGTTTTTTAATAAAGCTTCCTCATCCCTGTGTTTAAAGTGGGATTTGAGTGACAGGAGTTGTTTGGCAAAAGACATTTTCTATGTTACTCAGATACCTTCTTGCCTCTTTTGGGAATTAGGTCTAACCACCTGGAACTGGTATGTGTAAGGTGTGTGGATCCAGATTCACAAGATGGTCACGGGTAGGACTGTGTCAAAACAGAATTTCAACTTCCCCATTCCACCTCCATCCCTTCCAAGTGATAAACCAATTGCCAGTTGAGAATGACTACTTGGGGGGAAAAGGAAGAGCAATCATTTGGATAATATATAATTAACAGATCAACCCTGGCACACAGTAGGAGCCCTAGTCAAAGGAGCTAACTGGCTACATACTCGACCAGAAATAGGGTTTCAGGGTCATTTCTCCATTACTAATGAAAAATTCCAAAGGATATATCCAGCATTGAATATGGGAAAGTAAATGTATAACGTACTGTAATGTGGGAGGACTTGTATTATTACAGTACAGTAATAGATTTTATCACCTACCGGGTATTCCTTTTGAAGTAGCTTTTTTAAATAAGTATTTTTATTATAATTCATTAATCAATTACTATTTACAGGTTTGGGTACATCTATCCCATATTGGGATTTTCTTGGAAGCACCATGGTGACCAACAACTATATTAGACTAACGGCTGATGCTCAGAGTTTACGTGGAGCAATATGGAACAAAGCGCCTTGCTATCTACGGAACTGGGAGATGCAAATTCATTTTAAGGTTCATGGCCGTGGGAAGGATTTGTTTGGAGATGGATTTGTTTTCTGGTAAGTTTATGTTCAGTACTTTTTTACTGGAATTATTGTTTCTAACTTGGAGCCCTCTGCCAAACAGCAGGAAGAGCACTACAGTACTGTATGAGTTCAGAAAAGGGAAAGAATGTACTTGGGATAAATGCAGAACTGCTTGGGGGCAAATCTGAAAAAAAAATGAATTTGTCAAGTGCTAATCAGTTTTTGAAGGGAAAGTGAAACATATTTATCATTTGAGGGGAAGAGTGGGTACTTAGCAGGGGAAAGTTTACTAAATAATATAGGATACACTGTAGATAGGAGATGAGGCAGCATTTATTTACAGGTAACACATCTATAGTGGGTGATTTGTGAGAAAAATTACACATGTTATTCATATGAGTTCGAAAGAGTGCAGACAAATTACTTGTAGACACTGCTCAATGGATGGACCTTGAGTCATGTGGGTTGTGGGAGAGCTCAGAGGCCCACTTGTGTAGCATCGTCTGCTTCCTTTACTCTTTGCCCCATGGGTTTCTAATTTTACTTATATTTTTGTACATTATAATTTTTAGTAATTTTTTTGTTTATTTAGTGAATAATTTCCAGATCTTTTTATTACCTAAGGTTTTTAAATACATTTTGTGACTTTTTACTGTATTATATTGTGTTTGTCATTAACAGTAGTTCACCTTGCTGAATTGTTAACTAACTGCTGTGTCTGGCCATATTTGTTTGATCCATTTAAGTTGTCTCTTTTCAGCTTCTTAATTAAAAATTCCAGGAGAGATAATTATGTGTGTAGAGATGTACTCTGAAATTAATCTCTTCAAATTGCTCTGCTTTCTTTTTTATTTCCAATATAAGAAAATTACCAGTTGAGTATGTGGCAGTCATTGGCTGTTGGTTTTAGCTTGCAGGTATTTATGCATCTTACTTTTACCTGCATTCTATTGATTCTACATCGGCAATAATATTTCAAGATGAATGATTTCACTAACAGTAATGTGTTCTACAGGTATGTGAAAGAACCCATGCAGGAGGGTGATGTGTTTGGTAGCAAGGACTTCTTCACTGGACTGGCAGTGGTCATGGACACCTATAGTAACCACAATGGTCCACATAATGTAAGCTGTTGAAATCTGTTTTAGGATACATGATGAAGTTAGTGTTAAGTTACATATTTGTGCAGATTTCAGAATGCCATGTTGTAAGCCAATTACTAACTGGCAAGGGATCCTCACACAGCAAAGGTAGCAAGCCAGTCTGGAAGGTACAGTATTGTACACCATGGTATATTACTATCTTATTGAATAATAAGGAAGCACATAATAATTCACGGGAATTGTTGTCCCAAGAAGAGGCGACACTGGACATCAGTAGTCACCAAAAGATTTACCCCCAGCATATCCATTTAGTTAGCAGGTGGACAACAAATCATGCATTGTAATTTTTTTTCATTCAGAACAAAATTTGAAGGGAAGAAAACCCTTAAGCTTTAGATTTTATAGATACAGGTAGAATATCTCATGAATGTATAAAAATGTAGAGTGTAACATTGTTATACACCTCAGAAGGGATGGTCATTGTGATTTATACTGTATATACAAGTATTCTGCATTATTTTCATCTTGTACATTACTTCCATAGTTTAGTTTCTGCATGCCCAATGAGTGATTTTGAGACTAATATAAACCAAAGTAAAATGTGTCATCTGAAATTAAAACAAGTGTAACAGGACAGTTAAAATTTCATTGAACAATAAATGTAACTACCTTTGGTGTAGTCCCTGCTTAAACCACTTGTAAAAAAGTGATTATTACCCAAAATATATTTATGGTCAGGTAAACTTTAATGTATGAAGGTTTACACTTTGTGATGTGGATCATGGAGATTACTGTACTTCAATATTATTTTCTCCCAATAAACAGCATGGCCATCCATACATCTCAGCTATGGTCAACAATGGCACTCTACACTACGACCACGACCGTGATGGTACTCACACCCAGTTGTCGTCAGGCTGCGTTTCAAAATTCAGAAATTTGGATCATGATACATATATTTCCATCCAGTATGTCCACGACACACTAACAGGTAGGGAGACATTCCATTGCTTTTATTTTGTGTTGTTGGTGGTCATCATTGTACTGTACTGTATAATGTTTTGTGTGTTTTATAAGTACATGTATGACTACATCAATAACTCCTGTTGTTATATTCTAATGCACTAAATCAAAGATGCTTAAAGAGGTGACACTAGTCAACTAAATTAGAACCTTTTAGCCTTTCCAAGATTGCATGAAGACTTATAGCCCTTCAGCCAGTGAGTTTTTTTATGGCAAATTCTAAATGTAACAAATATGAAAAACGTGGAGTTATTCTGCCCGGAATGCAATACTGTAATATGAAAATATTAGAACAAAAAGAAGAAAAAATGATAAGTGGGGATGAGATGAGAGGCTGTAAGCACCTCAAAAATGGTAAAATGCCAATTGTGGATGGAATCAAAGTGGCACCTTATTCCTAAATGGATATCTGGGATCCCAGTACAGTTTAAAGATGAAGTTAATTGTCAAATTTATTTGATTTTTAGATCCTAGTCATTGGTTGGGTTCACGGTGCATTGTCTTTAAGATTTGCAGACTATGCAGAGTTGCTTCATCCTAAGTCAATTATAAGATAGAATCAGTACAGTACTGAGTACAGTACAGTAGTTATAGATTGAGCTTTTGTATTTACAATAATTATTTTTTAATTAATTAACACTAATAATAAAGTTTAAGTGGGCAATAACATATTTTGAATTCTGGAGTTGGGTTAGGTAGAATTTAGCCTACTGGAGACAGCAACGGGAGGATTCATTAGCTTCTGTGAGACCGCAACTTCACATGTAGGATGCAGGCTGATTTTTTTAGTCACTATTCAGACAAAAAGGTGTGTCGTATATGCCGTAAAATACGGTATGTACCTGTTTATCTGTAACTGACTGTCACTTGGTGTGTTTTACAGTGATGACTGACATTGAAAATAAGCAAGTATTCAAGGAATGTTTCTCAGTAGCCGGGGTAAAGCTGCCACTGGGTTATTTTCTTGGAGTGTCTGCTGCTACCGGTGACCTCACAGATGGACACGACATCATCTCACTTAAGATGTATGACCTATCTACTCCTGATGATGTAAGTACTGTACAGTATATGTTTTTTTTATATATATCTGTACAGCTATTGCCCTGACTTAACTATTTTTGGATACTACACTGCACTTCAGTAAATGCTTAAATGAATTTACTTTTAGTATTCTGCTTTGGAATTGTAAATAATAATTGATATTTTTTCAGGACATTCTTGAGGATCGGATCAACATTATGCCTTCTGCTTCTTTCTTTGAGCCTCCAAGAGGTAAGTAAAATACAGTATCTTATTATTTCTTGCAGTAGTGTTAAATATTTACATCATGTAAGAATTTAGTTGTTTGTTGTATTTAATGGTAATAATCAAGGGTACAGAGGCAATGTATTTACTTCATCTTCCAAAAAAGTATCGTTACACTTTCCATCAATACAATTTCAAATGCGGGATGAAATACTTTGGTATAATATCTAGTTCATCATCATATGCTGGTACTGTATGCCTGCTGTCCATATTGGTAACAGTATTAAAATATACACAACAAATGTACAGTATTGTATTTATAAAGTACGTATTTGCAGTTTTAAAAATTAAATACATGGTCATTTTCAAATTCAGGGAGTTCTCTGCTCAAAAATGTTACCAGATAATTTGATCCACTTAGTAGATAATGGTGTATATCAATACCTGAGGACTGATGCTGCTCACAAAACCAGGAATCACATGAAGTACTGTACAGGTATAATAGGGTAAAAAGAGCTTGAATACAAATCCCATTTATCCCAACTCATCTAGAATGTTTTGTAGGAATGTTGTCAGTTAATAATTCACTCTTTGGTGTAATCTTTTTCATTAATTGTATATCTCATCATGGTTTTATTCTTAGCAATCATCATGAATTAAAAAAAATGTATTTGACAATGATTTAACTCTATTGCTGTATGGTACAGGGGATATACTGTAATTTCTAAATTAGCCAAACTGTGCAGACACATGTCGGAAATTTTACTTTTGTGAGTGAAAGAGTTTTTTCTGCTGAACATGAAGTTTGATTACTGTTCTTTCTGTTGGTTTTATAGTTTCCCCATATGAATTATGTTGACATACCTTATAAAGTAATTATGGATATACTGTACAGTATTTCTGTGTTTCATTCCACCAACGACATGAATTTAGGTGGATTTATTATACAATGTTTTGCTCCACAATTCAATGAGCTGCATATTAAAAACTGAGATAGGGCTAGATGTACTGGAGCGAATTTCAGTAGTACTGTTTAAATTTTTCTCCTCCTTAGTCAGAAATTAATTGTACGGTATTTATTTTTGTTTTCTTATACTCACAGATCATGTCGAAGACCCCAAACCATCATCCTTGACTACTTGGAAGAAGGTAGTACTTCTTGTCTTTGGTGTGATTACCATCTGTGGGTGTGTATTCATAGGTGGCTTGTTCTACACCAAGCAGAAGGAACAACAGCGCAAAAGGTTTTACTAAACCAGTTTTTACTTCTGTTGTTTAAGAATTCTCTTTAAGTTTAATGGAAACATGAAGTAAAACACAGAGTCCTGCTTGTCTTTAATTTTTGTTTTGATAAAATATTCAGTATCCCAGAAGAGTTTTGTTATGTTAACGGATATGAATCACATGGTTCCAAATATATTACTTTCTTGGTGAAACTATGTCACTTGAGTTGTATATAATGCACAGAAATATTTTAACTAAAGGATCAGTGTGATGAAGTTTTTATTAGATTTGGTTCTGTGTAGAAGTGAAATATTGTAAGAGATTATCCAATACAAGTTTTTATATAATTTTGTACAGTTAGGAGAGAATTAGGGCCAGATAGTTGGAATAGTGTAAATTGTAGTGTTAGCCAAAACTTATTACAGTGGCATTTTACAATCCAACTCATACCATGGAAGTAAATATCCTGTACTTCTTTAATAGAACGGGCATTACAATGTCATCATCTCTGTGGTGGTAGTGTTGTGAGATTAGACCAAGAGTATTGTGGCTGAGTTTATCATGAATATAGAGACATACTATTTGAAAGTCTAGGTGAGTTTTTGTGTGAGAAACTAAGTCATAATTTTATCCTCAAGGTATGACACAGGTGACCAACTGACTTTGTTTATGACAAAAATCATAGTTGGCATGTACGGTAATACCTTGCTATTCACAATTGTTTTTAATTCCCATATTTGATATTTGCAAAGCTTAATCCACTTATCAGTAAAGTACATTAGAAAAATAATTACGATACGTCAAAGTTTAGCATGCGGCTCTGTGTGTGGTGGGGTTTTGTGGGTCGGATCCATACGTGTTTTAACGGTGGAGTATTGTTCTTTATGTACGATGATCTTTAACCTTCGAGGAGAGGATGAATATCTCTACTCAAACAAAATGGGGAACATGTGCTAGAGGTGTGTGGCATCTCGGGTGTTTGTTGGCTCAAGCTGTGTGAACAGACTGTGCAAGTATGGTCTCTCCTCGACTTACGACAACCTGGACATACGACGGTCATAGTCGTATAAAATATTTTTCACATTACGTATTTTCGAGTCCCGACGTTAGTGATTGCGCTGTGTACTGACAAAATTTTCGTTTGTATTTCCCTTTAAAATGGCTGGCAAGCGTAAAAGTGAGAGTTCTTGTGGTGCTGAGAAGAAAAAGAGACACCCATTTTAGAATTTCTATGTATTATTTTCGACTTAAGACCTGGTCATCAGGACAGAACCCCGTCGTAAGTCGAGGAGAGTACTGTACGTGTTTTTGCTGTGTATTCATGCGTCGGGCTACGCAAAAGAGCTCTCTCTGTCTGCTTTGATCTGTTACGTTGTGTGGTAGCGTTAATACTTATCGCAAAGGTTTTTGTAATGCCTACCACTCACTCTCACATTTTCCACACACGCACACACACAATCTTAGTTTTGCAGTTATCAAAATATTGGTGTCGGTCTATGTTTATGGAAGTGAATTTTTTTACACAGGTAGTGACTTGGTAGTCTTTGTTTATTTGAATTTTATTAAAGGTGCTTTACAAATAAAATGTGTGTACAGTTTTATTTTGTATTGTTTTTATGGTATTGTAGTTATTTCAGTGTATTACAAGTATATTAAGTGTATAAAAAAAATGTAGTGAAAGTTGCCGGCTGGGAATGCTTCCCCCTCTAAATATATTGATTCTTATGGGGAAAATTGGCAAGGTATTTGCAGTGACTTTTAGGGACACATCCTTTGGAATAACCGGGGTATTACTGTACTTTAAATAGGATATCATTACCTTGATGATTTATCTGGTTCAAAGTAATTTTTGAAGTTAAATTAATAATTAAACTAAAATTTTAAGTTCTAGATTTACTTATTATAATTACATACTCTTTCTTTGTAACATAATTGAGTCATTTACTTGTGACAACATAAATTCCAAATTTAATTATTTTCATATATATATATATATATATATATATATATATATATATATATATATATATATATATATATATATATATATATATATATATATATATATATATATATATATATATATATATATATATATACTGTATGTGTAGCAAGTCATAATTTGCAGCAATTTGTATTTATAAGAAAAAATAAAAGTTTCATTTATGCATGATGGAATTTCTCACTTGGAAAATACGCTCATCATCAGTGAGGGTGGAGAGGTTACTCACACACCTCTGCTGTACAGAGGGAATCTTAAAGAGTTTAGTAAATGACTGAAACTCATTGTCCTTACCATTTGACCTTGGTAAGTGGAAAGTAATTAAAGTAATCATTAGATTTGAAAGATACAAGTAATAATGTTCCCTAGTTTACCGAATTGTTGGTAGTTTAAAATCAATAGAAAGAAACTTGCCACCTTGGTTCTCAAAGGGTTTGGATTTCTTTGGAACAATGAAAATTAATATCTATTGCAGTGGGTAACTTGGTCGATGGATGCAAGGTAATGAGATTGCCTCTCTGTTGTCAGCTAGTTCTGTTTTATAATATAACTTCTTTTTCTTCTGAGGGTTCCTCTTGTGTTAGATCCACCAAATCCCCTTGTCTGTTTCTTTGCATGAGACTTGTGCAACTCTACCACATCATCTTCCAAGTCTTTAAACTCCATACACATTGGTCAAGTTTGATTATTCTTGTCATTTCTGTACTCCCACAGTATTCAGGTATGTCTAGGATGACCAAAATTTTAGCGTTATTATTAAACTAAAGAATTTTTATATGCATTTCAGTGTGTATTAATTTTCTTTGATGAAAATATGCTATAGGGGATACTAGAGGACATCTAAGTTATGCATTACAGTACAGTATATTAATTCTGTTTTTTTAATTGAAATCTGTTGAGGGAAATAAGCATTTACTTAATTAGATGCGTTAGTATATTTTCTAGTATGTTTGCAATGAACAAAAATATTAGTACTATATATTGTATAGACCATTGCTTTTTGATCAATGGGATGTGTCCCATGGTTGGATGTGAAGATTGTCTAAATGGGACAAAGTTTAAAAAAATAATTACTGATAAATCCAAGAAAAAATAAGCTTTGCTTCTCTGCATCTTCTGTGCCTATTGATTATTTTTAACCTACAAATAATTAGGAAATTTTCTATATAAAATTCAAATGTTAACTGTTGATACTTAGTTGCCAGAATCTAAACAACTTACCAAAAAGCTGTTAAGAAACTACTACCCTTCTTCCACATACTGTACAGTATCTTTGCAAGCAAGTCTTCTCTGCCATGGCAACAATAAAAACAAAGGAAAGAAGTCGTCTTGAAGCAGCTCCCTGAGTCACTATTACCCCACTATTTGACAAGCTTGCCAATGAAATATAGCCACAGACTTCTCAGTGATGACTAAATCATGATTTCTATTTTTTTTACAGATTTGCAATAAAACTTGATCTCAGAAAATTATTGCAATTTCTAATGTTCTTAAAAATAAACATTAATGGTTAATGGCATACTAAAAATCATGTAAACATACCCGTACTTGGAAAATGGGGTTTTGTTTTTATCATAGTGAGACCACACTTTTGACAAAAATGGTGGGTGGTTCAAAAGATGCAAAACCTTGAGACAGCTGGTATAGACTATTAGTTTTGTTTGATGCAAGCATACCGGAGAAGATATTCACACATTGTACTGTGCTGTACAGTACAGTATTTACATTGAAGGCATTTAGGTTACACTACACCTTCCACTTTCTCTTTTTGGCACCTGTCAAGGAACTTACTGAAGCTAATTTATTGTAGTGTTTTTGACCTTCATATTGATGGAAATGATCTAATTATCAAAAATGCAATCCGAAGATAAGGCTGGAGACAGCTTGTACATCAGTGTCCAGATATACCAACCTAATTGTATTAAGTGTTCTTATTTCAGCATGAACTATTAACAGTATACAGTACCAGGTATACTGTAAATTTAAATCACTGTGTAGTGATTTTGATTAACATATGAAATAAATTAAATTCAAATCATGCTTACTATCATAAATCATCTTCAGCTCCACCTATTGCTAAGAGGAAGGCTGTTGATTTAGAGGTGAAAATAACTATGTTTGGTCATTTAATAGGTATTAGCAATTCAATATTTGAGTGTACAGTAGTGTCTTATTATTACAGGTTAGCTGTCCCAGCTTACTTCATCTCATGATTAAACACCTTATCACTACCAGGAGAGCTTAGGTTTGGCTAGCATTAGGGTGAAATTAGCTGGGACTAATCTTCAGCTGATACCAAAACCTCTTTGGTTAGGAATGCATCTCCCATATTACCTGTATTTCTAGGTTCATATAGCACGTTTTGTTTTACCATTGTGTTTTCCAGGAATGCATTTATTGCACTAAACTAGGGTTATCTGTATATGTGTGTACAGTATTTTGTGTGTGTGTGTGATGAACTGTGTATGATATTGTAATAATGTTTTGCTTGCATTTCGGTAACTATGGAAATTATTGGAGGGACACAGTAAGGGTATATAGGACCCTAGGACAGATGGGATTATGGGGCTCTATACAATTTATTGTGTTGTGTGATTTTTGGGGTTGCATCCTCCAGCTAGTGGTTGGCATTGTTAGTGAACATTTGGATAGCGAAGGATACCCATATATCATATGATTTTTGGTTATATTTGTTTGTAGGGAAATCCCAAAACAGGTACTCCTCGACTTACGACCGCCTCAGTTGTACCAAAATATTTTCAAATTACGTATTTTCGAGTCCTGACGTTAGTGATTGCACTGTGTACTGACAAAATTTTCGTTTGTAATTCCCTTTAAAATGGCTGGCAAGCTTAAAAGTGAGAGTTTTGTGGTGCTGAGAAGAAAAAGAGACACCCATTTAAGATTTTCTATGTATTATTTTCGCATTTTCGACTTACGACTTGGATTTGGGTCCCTAACCCTGCCGTAAGTCGGGGACTGCCTGTAGTTTAATATATTATAAAAAATTAAACAAATTTTTTTGCATAGCGCAAAACAAGGAACTATAAATAACCAAAAAATCAGCATCGACTCAACATGTCGCTGTCTCTCCGCTCCTCCCTTTCCCACCT